TTGAGTAGGTGTTATTAAAGTATTCTTAGGCATTATCTGTTTAAATAACAAGCTGAATTAAAATAAAATAAAATCCATTGAAGATGTCCATAAAGATTTTTTTTTAATTTAAAAGACTGATTAATAAACAAATCAGACCATACGGGAACATGTACACTAGGATTATGCCGCCTACTCAAAGTATATAAACCTGGTGAGCCGTTAGGATCGGTTCTAGACATGCACAATTCTCCCTACGATGCTTTAGCTGAATGGTTGGTAAGTATCCTCAAAACCTTTACATGAACAGCTAGTGAAATATAGTGTGAAAGATGTATTTGAATTTACAGACAGAACTGAAGATACTCACGTCGAAGATAAAACTATGATGTCTTTGGACGTAACGTCTGTTTTTTATAAATGTAACTCTAACTGAAACGACTAATTATATACGTGAACAAATAAGCGACAAGTCAATATATATTGGGATCACAAAAGAAATTGGTAAAGCACTGTTAATAAGGTGTACTATAAGCATGGAATTTTAAATTTGACGGTGAACCCTGCAGACAGGTCGACTGGGTGCCAGTGACCTCTTTATTGAATCCCATGTTAGCAGATTTCTTTTTGAGTAAACTAGAAAAGAGTCCCTTAAACAACCTTATAATCAGAAAGTTCTAATTTTATTACCGATGTATGGGTGATACATTCATCCATTGTAAAAATGATTCGAACAGACAGGCAGGCAATAATACCTCAACTCAATAAAATACACTCAGCTACCAGATTCACGTGTTAAGAAGAATGTCAAAGTGAAATCGCCTTTTTTTTGACATCCTACTGATAAGAAGACCAGACAGTAGCATCGTGATGAAGAATAGACCGATAACGTTCGCTTTGTAGTTACATAAATTTGGTACACCTTATCTTTGAGCTTTTATTTGCACAACATTAGCAAACTGGTCGAATATCACCACATTCGATAGCTTATTGGATTCTGCACAGTGTTGTAACGTTTCTTCTTACAGTTCTCATCTTCAATCATAATGTTACCTTTCTGAATCCGTTTACTGACATACTACTTATATCTGGTCATAAGTAGCACTCGCCACATTATAAAAATGAATTCTCATAGGAAAAATACTTGGACCAGTCAAAATTCACGCTTTCACAGTTTTTTTTCTCTTCGGCATAGAGTTAGAGCTATTTGTTCCGAAGATACATATGTCACACATTAATCAAAAATAGCTACCCTAAAAAGTTCATCACTAAACACATGGCGAAGAAAGTAAAAAAGAATCCTTCTGGATCTGTTAAGAAAAAGCCTATATATATATATAACACCTATTCAAAGGTGATATACCAAGTGAAATAATAATCAACAAGTTAGGAAAACCCGTCTAAACAATGTTGAATGCCGGTAATCTACAACTCACATATCCAACATAATCGGTTGTGATTCCGGAACTAAAAGATGAAGTAGGCTAGACTAACCACCTCTATTTGTATCTGGATGTTGAGCTAGGAATTTAATTTTCACTGCTCGGGAATACCTACTAGTGCGGCCAAATAAAGGTATTGTTAAAACCATCAGCAGTTCTATATTACATCACCTTGTCTTAACAGGCCACAAAGGAAGTACTAAACAGTCTTTCTCTGTCATCTGTCGAATGAATTATCAAAGGCCTCCAGATAGTAAACACTCCAAACAGAAGAGGTCATCGCTGTTCGTTTGAGTCAACTGGAGCTCTGTGCGCAAAACAAACTGTTCCAACCAGTCACTATTGGTACTCTGTTGTCGAACCTATGAATTCACAAAATCTCCTTTACTTTCCTTAATTTATCTGACATTTAGTTTAGTGTTGTATGGATTGCATATTACCTCTCTCTCTCTCTCCCTCAAAAATTAAATTGTCAATACCATTGATAGAGTGTAATTTTAAATAATAATTCTTTAACTACTACTGTCATTTAAATGTAGATTCTGATGACGAACTTATCGAAAAGAATACTATTAGTTCATGAATCTGTCTTTTAAAATTATAATCCTTATAAAAATGCATTTGATTGGAATGATGAAATTACATTTTGGGGAATGCGCTTTTTTAAAAAATTTTCGTCAACCAATCATGACTTCATTTTAACAATTCACATGCAGTGTTTTATGCTGTATCTGTTAATGTATCAATTTGTTTGTGTAGTTGTGGTGATTGATAATTTCTATCACTGTATTGTTTAAATGCTTGCTGTTGTTTTGTTGTGGTGCTCTTTTTGATCAAACTTGCATACACGTATATCCTAGTACTTCTTCGCGTTTATTATTGTGTCCTAACGTTGTGATTCCTCAACATCCACAACGTAAATCAAAAGGCACTTGAGAAGGAGTACGAACGTGTATTAACGCAGTAATCGAAAATTCAAAAGTCGAGCCAGCAAAAAGTATCAATTGTAACACGCAATTGTTAGAGTGATAAACAAATAAAAGTCTAATTACATAGTGAAAGTACACTACAAACACGAGTAATAAAATGGGTCACTAGAGTTTGTTAATACATGTATTATATGAATTACAATTAGTTCTGCCAAATACTAATTCCGAAATTCATCCCTCTCTGTGTTGTTCGTTTGATTTCCCGTAATTCGGCCATTGTGAAATACTACTATTACAAATAACGATTACAATTTGGCGTCGCTATGGAATCAAATAGTCTTCAAGTTTCCAATGAACAGTTGGTCACGGGAAATCACCGATTACTTTGAATGCTTTGACGCATAGTGCATGTCGAAAAATGTTCGTGATGACGAAATTTCAACTCATTTTATTACTGCAATTGGGCTAGATGCGTAGAGTTTAGTGAAAACTCTCGCTCACATTTGCAGATAAACTAATTTCTCTGCCATATTATAAACTCCATGGACTCCTAACGGACCACCTCCACATAACGACTTCCGAAACACGAGAGAGGGCTCTGTTCGGCAAACTTGCTTGTGCTCCCAACCAGAGGATCAGAGACTTTATTCTTCAGCTTCAGATACAAGCTTCAAGGTGCAACTTTGGAGATCAGCCCAATACTCAACTACGTGATCGTCTAATTGCTGAGATCAATATTACTAAGTAAGAGGAAGAGTTGATTCAGATTCCTTCCTGTGCCTTTCAAACTGCTAATGATTTATGTACTACATATCACTTAACTGCGAGCTCCTTGGATACGACGTACTTTTTCCTGTCAAACCGGAAAATACCAATTTTGTGAATTATCCGTTTGGGAAACCTGATCTCCCTAGTCACTGAATTAAATTCAACCATTACTTACATAATATATCTCTGTGTGGTAAGTCCAGCTGTCTCGAGCTACTGACAAAGCTTCAGGTGCCACTGCTGTAGCAGCATCTTCCTCACTCGTTCAGACTTGCTGGTCTACCACATGATTGCTGTGAAGCCGATCATCCAGAAAGAACTAAGTAAAGTCGAAAACCCTTTCTTTTCCTTGTCTTGTACTTTTTCAGTTTTACTCTTGTTCTTTTAGGTAGATACTTTTGCTTTCTTATTCGTTTGTATCACAAGTCATACTGATTGCTAATATGGTTGTCGAAAGTAGCCTTAGAAAAGCCACTAAAACGGCATACTCTGTAGTCACAGGGGCTTCACCCAAAGAAGGAAAAAACCCAGGAACTTCAAACCCTTCCCGCATACCGATCATAAAGACTCGTGTAGGTTTCGTCTGTCCTTATACTACGCCTGCGTTGCCACAGTCTAGTACTCAAACGGCACAGGCAATACCAGGGGGACAGGATATTACACCTGCATCAACTGAAGACCAGTGTGTGAAACACAGCAAACCTAAAAGGAAACGTTCAAGACGTCATAAGACGTCATCAAGGAAAGGAGATGAATGTCAAGCACGTAGTATCATAGTTTCTAAAACTGACTCAGCGTTTGAATGCAATTTTTGCAAACGATGGGTGCACTGCCGTTGTGACACAGAGGTACCGAAAGCATACTACGAGTTTATGAGAAATAACCCATGCCCATGGTTTTGGTACATTTGTCCAATTTGTCGCCCTGGCATAGTCCCACAAAGCGTGGGGAATTATTGACCACAGCAATCACTCATTGGATGCTGACCACCACTGTTTAAGTCGACTTGTTTAGCTGAAGGCTTCCGGTCAAGCATCCCCGCCATTTGGTACCCCGTCGTGTCACGTGCACGATCACTAGCTAGTTAAGCGTTTGTCTGAAGGCTTGTTTTGGTCCCAAAATATATCTCTTGGTTTGGACGATCAAATATTGGCTTTTGCTTTGTCTTTGGTACGCGAGAATAAATTAATTAGAAGTTGTTGAACGAGATATCCGTCAGCCTCTAAACTGGTGAGCCCGACGTGATCTTCATCCACGAGAAATTCGCAGATAACCCCGGTGAGTTCGTTCCATTTTGTATTTATTCTTCTACCATATATATTATTCGACATGATTTTCGTCATGAGTGATTTTAGTCCCAAGGTCATCCGTATCCGCTCAACTCCTAAGACCATTCACCTCGTACCATACTGGCCAGATAATGCTGAAACGTGGTTTCTGCTAGCTGAAGCAGATTTTTGTGAGCATGGGATAACCGATGAACGTTCACAGTTACTTGCAGTTATTCACGCCCTACCGCGGGAATTCAGCAAGCACGCAACATCACAGATGTTGAGTCCCGAGGTAAGTAACTCGTACGAGTTGCTCAAAGCATCCCTTCTCAGGACAAACGTTCTCACGGATCGACAACGTCTAGGTGCCGAAGTCAGCGTCCTTCCTGCTACAGCATCAGATCGACAGAAGGAACCTACCTTCAACTTACAGGCTGCAAATGGAAAACCAATCGTAACCTTTGGTAGGAAATACGTCTGTCTGAACGTAGGTTTACGCAAACCTATTCGGTGGATTTTCCTTCTCGCTGACGTTACAATGCTCATCATTGGCACCGACCTACTTAATCATCATGATTTACTCGTAGACGTCCGCCGAAAACGACTGATTGACAATACTACTAGTCTGTCTATCAAAGGCATCAGCTACATAGGCCCTAGTTTGTCACCCGTTAAGATAAAGGCAATCCTTAATCCAACCTTTCAACCTATTGTTGACAAGTTCCCGGAACTTAATTGCCCGTCGAACGACCTGCCGTGCATAACCAGCAATGTTATGCACCACATCATTACCACAGGACAACCTGTGACATCTAAAGCACGACGATTAGCTCCTGACAAACTGAGAATCGCCAGGAATGAATTTGACCATATGCTTAGCCTTGGCGTCATTCGACCTTCGAATAGCCCATGGGCATCCCCACTTCATATGGTTCCGAAGAAGGATAGCAGTGATTGGCGACCCACTGGTGATTACCGGCGAGTGAATGCCAAAACAACCCCCGGTTGCTACCCGTTGCCTCATATACACGACTTGACGGCAACCTTATCCGGCGCGACTATATTCTCCAAAATAGACGTGGTTAAAGTGTATAACCAAATCCCGATGGCAACAGAAGACATCCCGAAAACGGCTATCATTACGCCTTTCGGACTTTTTGAATTTCTACGTATGCCATTCGGTCTCCGGAATGCAGCCCAAACATTCCAACGCTTCATTGACGAAGTATTTCGCGGTCTCGACTTTGTATACGCATACTTAGACGACTGCCTCATTGCCAGTTCAGACAAGGAAACTCACCTTAGGCACTTGGACTTGGCATTTGACAGGTTACGCCAACATGGTGTTACCATTAATATTCAAAAATGTCAAATCGGTGTTGACTCACTCGACTTTCTGGGTTACACTATTGACTGCAAGGGCATTCGCCCACTGGCTACTAAGGTCGAGGCTATATTGAACTTTCCAGAGCCACAGACATTGAAAAGTCTCCGCACTTTTAACAGCTTAGTAAGCTATTATCGACGCTTTATTCCCAACTGTGCCTCTTTGATTCAGCCATTGACAGACCTCCTTCGAGGGAATAACAAGTCCATAGAACTTGACGCGTCTGCTCGAAATGCTTTTACCCAGATTAAAAAAGCTATTGCGAATGCCACACTTCTGATGTATCAGGATCCAACGGCACCGTTAAGTATCTCGGTTGATGCATCAAACGCTGCAATCGGCGCAGTTCTACAACAGCTAGTTGACAAAGAGTGGCAACCACTTGCCTTTTTCTCCCGGCGCCTTCAATTAGCCGAAACGAAGTACAGCACATTCGGCAGAGAACTTCTGGCTATGTACTGTGCTATACGACATTTTAGACATTCGGTAGAGGGTCGTGAATTTATAATTTTTACGGATCACAAACCTCTGACGTACTCTCTGAACTCACCTTCAGATAAGTATTCACCCAGGGAATCACGACAACTGGATTACGTCTCACAGTTTACATCAGATATTCGCCATGTATCTGGAGTAAACAACACTGTGGCAGATGCCTTGTCGCGCGTTTGTTCTTTCACCCTGGCTCGTCTTCAAAAAGAAGATGCCGAACTTCAACATGAGTTGTCGAAAACAACTCTACAATTAGCTGAGAAACCCTTAGGTATGGGAAGAGATACTATTCTATGCGACATTTAATAATAATAATAATAATAGTATATTCTCATTTTGTACATGAGAGACGCCAGTTTACAGGCATCATCAATATGATAAATTACATATACGATTAGTAATCATAATTAATAATGTTTTAATAAAATACACATTTTTTCCTACTTGTGTAGGACACACCAAATATACAGGCATGGGTAAGCATTATTTAAATTTCATAAATTCGGTTTATGGTTAAGTTACATGGTTGCTGGCGTTTTTGTCTTAGGTCTGTGGGAACAATATGATAACCAGTCATTCAATGGAGCACGTCATGAAATATAGGAATATTAACTTCGCATTAACAAAAAAACCCAAGTAAGTTTTGGATGGATTAAAAATACTTGGGAAAAAATAAAGCTTGAAGTAATTCCTCAATATAACTTGGGTGTGTACAAATCCGAATCTTATTTTTGATTTGATTTATATCCAAATTGGGTAATAAGGAAGCTATTTTACAGATACGATCAGTTATGTTATAAGCTACAATCGTGACGTTGTATTACAAATAGATACTTTTCCATTGGTATAAGAGTATATTCCACAAATGTAATCCAGGTTGCGTCGTGGAGAAAGTTAATTCGTTATTAACCAGGCAACTGAAAGATACGGGACCAATAATGTTTGCAGATCATTTGTCATTGTAAATGGTCAAATATCCACATTATTCATTCTCATTCAAAAAGTCAAATGGAAGCTGAAATGGTGAAAGAAAAAAGAAGACAAACAACAGCAACGCAAAAGAAAGCAACGGGAGTCCTTAAGGAGTGATTAATAAATATATACATATATATTCTGTTTTGTAACTATGCTTATTTTTTTTCATAACTAACTAGTCCCGTTACGCTAACTTTTATATTATGTGTGAACTAATATTACTGTCCTGTGTAGAAATGTTTATCATCTAGTTCCAATAATATTAAAATTTATAATTGTAGTTTGTTGTAACTACACGTTTAAAGAACTTAAAATATCTATGTAGGGTGAAAAAGAAGGTGTAAGAGTCAGGCGCAAAAGTGCATTGTCATCTTTGAGCAGTCTGGTGACTGAGGAGATGAACACTGGAAGTGTGTTTGCATCGCGCACATTAGCTGGTAGTCTATTCCAAATGACTGAAAACTTATTTAAGAAGAAGTTGTACCGCACGTAAGTCTGACAGTGCTCCATAGCAGCTAGGTTGTGATGATTTCTAAGATTGTAACTGATGACAGCGGTAGGTTTAGTTATTGGCTCGGAGGAATGCAAGAGAAGATTAGTTAGCTTATAGTAAAAGATAAGGTTTAGCTTAAGGCGTCTTTTCCAGAGGGGTTCTAATCTTAGTCTTTCGCATCGCTCATGGTATTCCAGACCACTTTCTAAACCAAGAGTTCTTGAGGTAAACTGCCGTTGCACTCCCTCTAATTTAAGCTTGTCATTTTGTCTGAGTCCGCTAAGAATAAACGGGCAGTATTCTAAGATAGGTCGGACACATACTTTGTATAATAAAACCCTAGTTTCACAACAAAAGAAATTGCGTGTTATGCATCCTATCAGCCTTCGCGTTTTACGTCTGGCATAATCAGTCTGTTCAGCGAACGTTAGGTTACTAGAGTATCTAATACCGAGATCTACGACTGAGTTGAGCTTAGCTAGTTTTCGCCCATTTATTTCAAGAGTTAGATCAAGCTTACTGTTGCCGATACAAATCCAGCCGCATTTGTCAATGTTAAAGTTTAGACAGGATTCAGCACCACGTTGCAAGGCTACTTAGTTCAAGATGTATTTTAGTAACCATATCGCTTAATTCATGAGTGTAGCAGGAGTAGACGACTTTGAGGTCGTCAGCATATAGGAATGGTTTGCCTAAGGTGAAGCACTTGCAAATGCTGTTAATGTAGACTGTGAATAAAAGTGGACCTAGGACACTACCTTGCACGACCCCACTTGAGATCTGCCTAGGATGAGACAATACAGATCCAACTTTGGTTATTTGTACCCTGTTGCTTAGAAATGATTTTAACCAGTTCAGTAATGGGTTGCGAATTCCACAAGAGTACAGCTTCTCAAAGAGAATACTGTGAGATACCATGTCAAATGCCCTAGATATATCGAAGTAGAGAACAACGACTAGCTTACGTGCTTCGCGACTACTAGTGATGCAGTTGAAAAAGTCGAAGTGGCAAGTAACGCAGGATCTATTTTTGAGAAATCCGTGTTGAGACCTTGTAACAAGATCTTCCCTAATTAGGTAGTCTGACAATTGATCTTTTACAACTTTCTCCATGATTCGTGAGATAACTGGGGTTATATTTATGGGTCTGTAATTGCGGACGTTTGCCCTATCACCAGATTTGTAATGTGGAATTATGAAGCTAGTTTTCCACTCACTAGGGTAAGTGCCAGTGTCCATAGATATTGAGAAGAATTTAAGAAGTAACAAGGGTATATCACACCCACTGCTTTTGAAAATTATCGAAGCTAGGCCATCCGGTCCCGTACTAGTGGAAGGTTTAAGGTGATAAGACACACCAAAAGCCCACTTGGCACCTTTCTTCTCCCTGACGCTCGTTTCGAACACGTCCATATAGATTTGGTTGGTCCCCTTCCTGAATCACATGGATATACTTATATTTTAACTTGCATAGATCACTTCACACGATGGCCGGAAGCAGTACCCATCAAGGATGTATCTGCTGAAACAGTCGCACGCGTCTTCGTAGAAAGATGGATTGCTAACTTTGGATGCCCATCTTCCATAACAACTGATCGCGGGCGGCAATTCGAAAGTGGCTTATTCTTCGCCCTAACTAAAATCATAGGTTGCATGCGATTTCGAACAACAGCCTACCATCCTCAAGCTAATGGTATGGTAGAACGTCTACACAGACAGCTGAAAGCTGGTCTGTCAGCTGCAAACACCACCCATTGGACTGAATCCCTGCCGTTAGTTTTCCTAGGGATACGAAACGCCTTGAAAACCGATGCTGGTTGTACTAGCGCCGAGCTAGTATATGGCACGACACTACGACTGCCTGGTGAATTTGTTTCTCCCTCGAGCTTCCCACCAGTGGTAGATCATGCTTCATACGTCAGCAGGCTTACAAACGCAATGCGTTCAGTTAAACCTGCTCCCCTTCGTCCACAGTCCATTGATGTTTCCGTTCATCCGTGTTTGAAAACTTCTTCACATGTATTTGTTCGTCGCGACTCTGTGTGCAGACCCCTGGAACCCCCATATGACGGACCTTATAAGGTAATTAAACGTTCTGATAAATTCCTTGTCTTGGACAAAAACGGCCGCGAGGACACCGTCAGCATTGACCGTCTGAAACTGGCTTACTTGGAGGGTAATCCTATTAGCATAGACCTGAACGTACCCCAAAATCCACAAGTAACAGAAGATCGTTTAGACCTCGATGAAGTCACTAGCACAGCGACAGCTACCGAACCTTCTATCGAGCCTCCCAAGAAAACCCGTTCTGGACGCACCGTAAGGTTCCCAGAATATCTGCACACTTATTTGACTTAACGAAGTCGTGTGATTCACGCAACTCACTCGTTTGTGGTACTGACTATTTTTTTGACGTATCAATTTTTTTATATACAGTACCACCGAACACAAAAAAATTGTTTTTTCTCAACAGTTCATGTAACATACACAAAAAATTAATTAGATGTATTTTTTTTTCTCGATGTTCTAGACTTAGCATTATTTTACTATTTAGTAAATGCACATACTTTTTTTTTAACCGAAAAGCTCATTTCGTACATTTTCCTAGACATGGTTCTTAGCGTTCTTGTTTTCTTTTCCAGGTGCGACGGGCACTGGACAGGAAACAAACGAAACACGGGATCCAACGAACAACAACAAGGAAGCTATGTGCAAACACCCTATTAGCATAGGCAGACAAACCAGTAGGCATACGACCAAGCCGCTCGGAAGATTTTTCACCCAAAAGGGAACCATCGAATTTTTTTTACTTCCGGCTGGTTCTGTCTTGGGGTCGTGAGGACCCTAATCTTCCGAGCGGCTTGGTCGTGTGCCTACTGGTTTGTCTGCCTATGCTAATAGGGTGTTTGCACATAGCTTCCTTGTTGTTGTTCGTTGGATCTCGTGTTTCGTTTGTTTCCTGTCCAGTGCCCGTCGCACCTGGAAAAGAAAACAAGAACGCTAAGAACCATGTCTAGGAAAATGTACGAAATGAGCTTTTCGGTTAAAAAAAAATTATGTGCATTTACTAAATAGTAAAATAATGCTAAGTCTAGAACATCGAGAAAAAAAATACATCTAATTAATTTTTTGTGTATGTTACATGAACTGTTGAGAAAAAACAATTTTTGGGTTCGGTGGTACTGTATATAAAAAAATTGATACGTCAAAAAAATAGTCAGTACCACAAACGAGTGAGTTGCGTGAATCACACGACTTCGTTAAGTCAAATAAGTGTGCAGATATTCTGGGAACCTTACGGTGCGTCCAGAACGGGTTTTCTTGGGAGGCTCGATAGAAGGTTCGGTAGCTGTCGCTGTGCTAGTGACTTCATCGAGGTCTAAACGATCTTCTGTTACTTGTGGATTTTGGGGTACGTTCAGGTCTATGCTAATAGGATTACCCTCCAAGTAAGCCAGTTTCAGACGGTCAATGCTGACGGTGTCCTCGCGGCCGTTTTTGTCCAAGACAAGGAATTTATCAGAACGTTTAATTACCTTATAAGGTCCGTCATATGGGGGTTCCAGGGGTCTGCACACAGAGTCGCGACGAACAAATACATGTGAAGAAGTTTTCAAACACGGATGAACGGAAACATCAATGGACTGTGGACGAAGGGGAGCAGGTTTAACTGAACGCATTGCGTTTGTAAGCCTGCTGACGTATGAAGCATGATCTACCACTGGTGGGAAGCTCGAGGGAGAAACAAATTCACCAGGCAGTCGTAGTGTCGTGCCATATACTAGCTCGGCGCTAGTACAACCAGCATCGGTTTTCAAGGCGTTTCGTATCCCTAGGAAAACTAACGGCAGGGATTCAGTCCAATGGGTGGTGTTTGCAGCTGACAGACCAGCTTTCAGCTGTCTGTGTAGACGTTCTACCATACCATTAGCTTGAGGATGGTAGGCTGTTGTTCGAAATCGCATGCAACCTATGATTTTAGTTAGGGCGAAGAATAAGCCACTTTCGAATTGCCGCCCGCGATCAGTTGTTATGGAAGATGGGCATCCAAAGTTAGCAATCCATCTTTCTACGAAGACGCGTGCGACTGTTTCAGCAGATACATCCTTGATGGGTACTGCTTCCGGCCATCGTGTGAAGTGATCTATGCAAGTTAAAATATAAGTATATCCATGTGATTCAGGAAGGGGACCAACCAAATCTATATGGACGTGTTCGAAACGAGCGTCAGGGAGAAGAAAGGTGCCAAGTGGGCTTTTGGTGTGTCTTATCACCTTAAACCTTCCACTAGTACGGGACCGGATGGCCTAGCTTCGATAATTTTCAAAAACAGTGGGTGTGATATACCCTTGTTACTTCTTAAATTCTTCTCAATATCTATGGACACTGGCACTTACCCTAGTGAGTGGAAAACTAGCTTCATAATTCCACATTACAAATCTGGTGATAGGGCAAACGTCCGCAATTACAGACCCATAAATATAACCCCAGTTATCTCACGAATCATGGAGAAAGTTGTAAAAGATCAATTGTCAGACTACCTAATTAGGGAAGATCTTGTTACAAGGTCTCAACACGGATTTCTCAAAAATAGATCCTGCGTTACTTGCCACTTCGACTTTTTCAACTGCATCACTAGTAGTCGCGAAGCACGTAAGCTAGTCGTTGTTCTCTACTTCGATATATCTAGGGCATTTGACATGGTATCTCACAGTATTCTCTTTGAGAAGCTGTACTCTTGTGGAATTCGCAACCCATTACTGAACTGGTTAAAATCATTTCTAAGCAACAGGGTACAAATAACCAAAGTTGGATCTGTATTGTCTCATCCTAGGCAGATCTCAAGTGGGGTCGTGCAAGGTAGTGTCCTAGGTCCACTTTTATTCACAGTCTACATTAACAGCATTTGCAAGTGCTTCACCTTAGGCAAACCATTCCTATATGCTGACGACCTCAAAGTCGTCTACTCCTGCTACACTCATGAATTAAGCGATATGGTTACTAAAATACATCTTGAACTAAGTAGCCTTGCAACGTGGTGCTGAATCCTGTCTAAACTTTAACATTGACAAATGCGGCTGGATTTGTATCGGCAACAGTAAGCTTGATCTAACTCTTGAAATAAATGGGCGAAAACTAGCTAAGCTCAACTCAGTCGTAGATCTCGGTATTAGATACTCTAGTAACCTAACGTTCGCTGAACAGACTGATTATGCCAGACGTAAAACGCGAAGGCTGATAGGATGCATAACACGCAATTTCTTTTGTTGTGAAACTAGGGTTTTATTATACAAAGTATGTGTCCGACCTATCTTAGAATACTGCCCGTTTATTCTTAGCGGACTCAGACAAAATGACAAGCTTAAATTAGAGGGAGTGCAACGGCAGTTTACCTCAAGAACTCTTGGTTTAGAAAGTGGTCTGGAATACCATGAGCGATGCGAAAGACTAAGATTAGAACCCCTCTGGAAAAGACGCCTTAAGCTAAACCTTATCTTTTACTATAAGCTAACTAATCTTCTCTTGCATTCCTCCGAGCCAATAACTAAACCTACCGCTGTCATCAGTTACAATCTTAGAAATCATCACAACCTAGCTGCTATGGAGCACTGTCAGACTTACGTGCGGTACAACTTCTTCTTAAATAAGTTTTCAGTCATTTGGAATAGACTACCAGCTAATGTGCGCGATGCAAACACACTTCCAGTGTTCATCTCCTCAGTCACCAGACTGCTCAAAGATGACAATGCACTTTTGCGCCTGACTCTTACACCTTCTTTTTCACCCTACATAGATATTTTAAGTTCTTTAAACGTGTAGTTACAACAAACTACAATTAAAAATTTTAATATTATTGGAACTAGATGATAAACATTTCTACACAGGACAATAATATTAGTTCACACATAATATAAAAGTTAGCGTAACGGGACTAGTTAGTTGTGAAAAAAATAAGCATAGTTACAAAACAGAATATATATGTATATAATTATTAATCACTCCTTAAGGACTCCCGTTGCTTTCTTTTGCGTTGCTGTTGTTTGTCTTCTTTTTTCTTTCACCATTTCAGCTTCCATTTGACTTTTTGAATGAGAATGAATAATGTGGATATTTGACCATTTACAATGACAAATGATCTGCAAACATTATTGGTCCCGTATCTTTCAGTTGCCTGGTTAATAACGAATTAACTTTCTCCACGACGCAACCTGGATTACATTTGTGGAATATACTCTTATACCAATGGAAAAGTATCTATTTGTAATACAACGTCACGATTGTAGCTTATAACATAACTGATCGTATCTGTAAAATAGCTTCCTTATTACCCAATTTGGATATAAATCAAATCAAAAATAAGATTCGGATTTGTACACACCCAAGTTATATTGAGGAATTACTTCAAGCTTTATTTTTTCCCAAGTATTTTTAATCCATCCAAAACTTACTTGGGTTTTTTTGTTAATGCGAAGTTAATATTCCTATATTTCATGACGTGCTCCATTGAATGACTGGTTATCATATTGTTCCCACAGACCTAAGACAAAAACGCCAGCAACCATGTAACTTAACCATAAACCGAATTTATGAAATTTAAATAATGCTTACCCATGCCTGTATATTTGGTGTGTCCTACACAAGTAGGAAAAAATGTGTATTTTATTAAAACATTATTAATTATGATTACTAATCGTATATGTAATTTATCATATTGATGATGCCTGTAAACTGGCGTCTCTCATGTACAAAATGAGAATATACTATTATTATTATTATTATTAAATGTCGCATAGAATAGTATCTCTTCCCATACCTAAGGGTTTCTCAGCTAATTGTAGAGTTGTTTTCGACAACTCATGTTGAAGTTCGGCATCTTCTTTTTGAAGACGAGCCAGGGTGAAAGAACAAACGCGCGACAAGGCATCTGCCACAGTGTTGTTTACTCCAGATACATGGCGAATATCTGATGTAAACTGTGAGACGTAATCCAGTTGTCGTGATTCCCTGGGTGAATACTTATCTGAAGGTGAGTTCAGAGAGTACGTCAGAGGTTTGTGATCCGTAAAAATTATAAATTCACGACCCTCTACCGAATGTCTAAAATGTCGTATAGCACAGTACATAGCCAGAAGTTCTCTGCCGAATGTGCTGTACTTCGTTTCGGCTAATTGAAGGCGCCGGGAGAAAAAGGCAAGTGGTTGCCACTCTTTGTCAACTAGCTGTTGTAGAACTGCGCCGATTGCAGCGTTTGATGCATCAACCGAGATACTTAACGGTGCCGTTGGATCCTGATACATCAGAAGTGTGGCATTCGCAATAGCTTTTTTAATCTGGGTAAAAGCATTTCGAGCAGACGCGTCAAGTTCTATGGACTTGTTATTCCCTCGAAGGAGGTCTGTCAATGGCTGAATCAAAGAGGCACAGTTGGGAATAAAGCGTCGATAATAGCTTACTAAGCTGTTAAAAGTGCGGAGACTTTTCAATGTCTGTGGCTCTGGAAAGTTCAATATAGCCTCGACCTTAGTAGCCAGTGGGCGAATGCCCTTGCAGTCAATAGTGTAACCCAGAAAGTCGAGTGAGTCAACACCGATTTGACATTTTTGAATATTAATGGTAACACCATGTTGGCGTAACCTGTCAAATGCCAAGTCCAAGTGCCTAAGGTGAGTTTCCTTGTCTGAACTGGCAATGAGGCAGTCGTCTAAGTATGCGTATACAAAGTCGAGACCGCGAAATACTTCGTCAATGAAGCGTTGGAATGTTTGGGCTGCATTCCGGAGACCGAATGGCATACGTAGAAATTCAAAAAGTCCGAAAGGCGTAATGATAGCCGTTTTCGGGATGTCTTCTGTTGCCATCGGGATTTGGTTATACACTTTAACCACGTCTATTTTGGAGAATATAGTCGCGCCGGATAAGGTTGCCGTCAAGTCGTGTATATGAGGCAACGGGTAGCAACCGGGGGTTGTTTTGGCATTCACTCGCCGGTAATCACCAGTGGGTCGCCAATCACTGCTATCCTTCTTCGGAACCATATGAAGTGGGGATGCCCATGGGCTATTCGAAGGTCGAATGACGCCAAGGCTAAGCATATGGTCAAATTCATTCCTGGCGATTCTCAGTTTGTCAGGAGCTAATCGTCGTGCTTTAGATGTCACAGGTTGTCCTGTGGTAATGATGTGGTGCATAACATTGCTGGTTATGCACGGCAGGTCGTTCGACGGGCAATTAAGTTCCGGGTACTTGTCAACAATAGGTTGAAAGGTTGGATTAAGGATTGCCATTATCTTAACGGGTGAAAAACTAGGGCCTATGTAGCTGATGCCTTTGATAGACAGACTAGTAGTATTGTCAATCAGTCGTTTTCGGCGGACGTCTACGAGTAAATCATGGTGATTAAGTAGGTCGGTGCCAATGATGGGCATTGTAACGTCAGCGAGAAGGAAAATCCACCGAATAGGTTTGCGTAAACCTACGTTCAGACAGACGTATTTCCTACCAAAGGTTACGATTGGTTTTCCATTTGCAGCCTGTAAGTTGAAGGTAGGTTCCTTCTGTCGATCTGATGCTGTAGCAGGAAGGACGCTGACTTCGGCACCTAGACGTTGTCGATCCGTGAGAACGTTTGTCCTGAGAAGGGATGCTTTGAGCAACTCGTACGAGTTACTTACCTCGGGACTCAACATCTGCGATGTTGCGTGCTTGCTGAATTCCCGCGGTAGGGCGTGAATAACTGCAAGTAACTGTGAACGTTCATCGGTTATCCCATGCTCACAAAAATCTGCTTCAGCTAGCAGAAACCACGTTTCAGCATTATCTGGCCAGTATGGTACGAGGTGAATGGTCTTAGGAGTTGAGCGGATACGGATGACCTTGGGACTAAAATCACTCATGACGAAAATCATGTCGAATAATATATATGGTAGAAGAATAAATACAAAATGGAACGAACTCACCGGGGTTATCTGCGAATTTCTCGTGGATGAAGATCACGTCGGGCTCACCAGTTTAGAGGTTGACGGATACCTCGTTCAACAACTTCTAATTAATTTATTCTCGCGTACCAAAGACAAAGCAAAAGCCAATATTTGATCGTCCAAACCAAGAGATATATTTTGGGACCAAAACAAGCCTTCAGACAAACGCTTAACTAGCTAGTGATCGTGCACGTGACACGACGGGGTACCAAATGGCGGGGATGCTTGACCGGAAGCCTTCAGCTAAACAAGTCGACTTAAACAGTGGTGGTCAGCATCCAATGAGTGATTGCTGTGGTCAATAATTCCCCACGCTTTGTGGGACTATGCCAGGGCGACAAATTGGACAAATGTACCAAAACCATGGGCATGGGTTATTTCTCATAAACTCGTAGTATGCTTTCGGTACCTCTGTGTCACAACGGCAGTGCACCCATCGTTTGCAAAAATTGCATTCAAACGCTGAGTCAGTTTTAGAAACTATGATACTACGTGCTTGACATTCATCTCCTTTCCTTGATGACGTCTTATGACGTCTTGAACGTTTCCTTTTAGGTTTGCTGTGTTTCACACACTGGTCTTCAGTTGATGCAGGTGTAATATCCTGTCCCCCTGGTATTGCCTGTGCCGTTTGAGTACTAGACTGTGGCAACGCAGGCGTAGTATAAGGACAGACGAAACCTACACGAGTCTTTATGATCGGTATGCGGGAAGGGTTTGAAGTTCCTGGGTTTTTTCCTTCTTTGGGTGAAGCCCCTGTGACTACAGAGTATGCCGTTTTAGTGGCTTTTCTAAGGCTACTTTCGACAACCATATTAGCAATCAGTATGACTTGTGATACAAACGAATAAGAAAGCAAAAGTATCTACCTAAAAGAACAAGAGTAAAACTGAAAAAGTACAAGACAAGGAAAAGAAAGGGTTTTCGACTTTACTTAGTTCTTTCTGGATGATCGGCTTCACAGCAATCATGTGGTAGACCAGCAAGTCTGAACGAGTGAGGAAGATGCTGCTACAGCAGTGGCACCTGAAGCTTTGTCAGTAGCTCGAGACAGCTGGACTTACCACACAGAGATATATTATGTAAGTAATGGTTGAATTTAATTCAGTGACTAGGGAGATCAGGTTTCCCAAACGGATAATTCACAAAATTGGTATTTTCCGGTTTGACAGGAAAAAGTACGTCGTATCCAAGGAGCTCGCAGTTAAGTGATATGTAGTACATAAATCATTAGCAGTTTGAAAGGCACAGGAAGGAATCTGAATCAACTCTTCCTCTTACTTAGTAATATTGATCTCAGCAATTAGACGATCACGTAGTTGAGTATTGGGCTGATCTCCAAAGTTGCACCTTGAAGCTTGTATCTGAAGCTGAAGAATAAAGTCTCTGATCCTCTGGTTGGGAGCACAAGCAAGTTTGCCGAACAGAGCCCTCTCTCGTGTTTCGGAAGTCGTTATGTGGAGGTGGTCCGTTAGGAGTCCATGGAGTTTATAATATGGCAGAGAAATTAGTTTATCTGCAAATGTGAGCGAGAGTTTTCACTAAACTCTACGCATCTAGCCCAATTGCAGTAATAAAATGAGTTGAAATTTCGTCATCACGAACATTTTTCGACATGCACTATGCGTCAAAGCATTCAAAGTAATCGGTGATTTCCCGTGACCAACTGTTCATTGGAAACTTTTGAAGACTATTTGATTCCATAGCGACGCCAAATTGTAATCGTTATTTGTAATAGTAGTATTTCACAATGGCCGAATTACGGGAAATCAGACTTCTTCACATGTATTTGTTCGTCGCGACTCTGTGTGCAGACCCCTGGAACCCCCATATGACGGACCTTATAAGGTAATTAAACGTTCTGATAAATTCCTTGTCTTGGACAAAAACGGCCGCGAGGACACCGTCAGCATTGACCGTCTGAAACTGGCTTACTTGGAGGGTAATCCTATTAGCATAGACCTGAACGTACCCCAAAATCCACAAGTAACAGAAGATCGTTTAGACCTCGATGAAGTCACTAGCACAGCGACAGCTACCGAACCTTCTATCGAGCCTCCCAAGAAAACCCGTTCTGGACGCACCGTAAGGTTCCCAGAATATCTGCACACTTATTTGACTTAACGAAGTCGTGTGATTCATGCAACTCACTCGTTTGTGGTACTGACTATTTTTTTGACGTATCAATTTTTTTATATACAGTACCACCGAACACAAAAAAATTGTTTTTTCTCAACAGTTCATGTAACATACACAAAAAATTAATTAGATGTATTTTTTTTTCTCGATGTTCTAGACTTAGCATTATTTTACTATTTAGTAAATGCACATACTTTTTTTTTAACCGAAAAGCTCATTTCGTACATTTTCCTAGACATGGTTCTTAGCGTTCTTGTTTTCTTTTCCAGGTGCGACGGGCACTGGACAGGAAACAAACGAAACACGGGATCCAACGAACAACAACAAGGAAGCTATGTGCAAACACCCTATTAGCATAGGCAGACAAACCAGTAGGCATACGACCAAGCCGTTCGGAAGATTTTTCACCCGAAAGGGAACCATCGAGTTTTTTTACTTCCGGCTGGTTCTGTCTTAGGGTCCTCACGACCCCACTAGGTGGGGTCTGAGCTGTAGCGGTAAATAATTCCCCAAAATTATTGACCACAGCAATCACTAATTGGATGCTGACCACCACTGTTTAAGTCGACTTGTTTAGCTGAAGGCTTCCGGTCAAGCATCCCCGCCATTTGGTACCCCGTCGTGTCACGTGCACGATCACTAGCTAGTTAAGCGTTTGTCTGAAGGCTTGTTTTGGTCCCAAAATATATCTCTTGGTTTGGACGATCAAATATTGGCCTTTGCTTTGTCTTTGGTACGCGAGAACAAATTAATTAGAAGTTGTTGAACGAGATATCCGTCAACCTCTGAATGCCAATTTTCACAAAATGAAGATTCACAAGTTTGCACCCACAACATCAGGTGAAGATAGATTTACAATAGCATTACCTGCATCCATTAGCAATCTTGGTAACACAAAAAAGGCTGGCCAGATCCTGATGAAGCCTAATGTTGCAAATGAATGATGCCAAGCAATACAAGAATCCAAGGGCCAAACCTGAGTCTGTGGTTAGTAAGTCTAATGCTCTTATCTTCTTTAAAGTAACTGTAAATAAAGATAGCTTGCCTGAACGACTAGCCCTGAATGATCAGTAACAGTGGTCCAACCAGCGCAGTAAATAAGTTCTGAACATTAGTTCAGCTAAATTGTGCAGTGTCAATATAGTTGAAGATTGAATGATCAATTCATGGTTGCTTCCCAAGACCAAACTTCCCTATATTTTTGTGGAGGCATTAATACACCAGTCATCGTCTCATCGGTCGCTGTTCAGAAAGAAGATCAAAACCGTCAGAAGTAGTATCGTGATTTATTATTGCAATATTTGACCTTAGTTATTATGCTGGTTATATGTTGGTGTTAGAATAAAGAATTCTCGAGTCGCCAATCTGTGTTTTGGTTTTTGCGTTCGTTAGTACTAAGCGTTTCTGAAAGGCTTCGAGGGACATCGAGAGGCCCGGCGTAGCAAGAGCCGGTCATTAACGGTTTTTGTGATGTGATTACATGCAGGCTGTACAGAAGTGTCCACACCCTCCAGGGTAAGCCACCTCCATTAAGGATTACACTGGACTCTATCGAAGAGTCCGAAAGAGTTCTATTAATAGCTCAGGTACTAGCCATGGACAGAAGTTCGAACATATGTGTGGCACAAGACAGACCATGGGCTATCAGACAAATGGCGAGGGAGTCACCGGACCTGATGCCTTCTACCTCTATTGTGTTACACGGTGTTCCGGAGCTGGAAACGGACACTGCTTGTGAAAGACAAATGCACGGCGTACAGCAATGGAGATGGCTGCCATCTCAGATGACCCTTGGCGTGTCTGGAGCCATCTCGCCAACCTCACCCCGCTCATCTCACACTGATTAGCTCTACAAAGCTGCTAACTGTCACATTCAACTACCCGGAACAGTTGTCCATAGCACTTCAACGGTGGTATGAGAACAAGGGAAAAATGGGAGCACACACCCAATGCTGCGAAAGCAGACCCCGAACTATAAGGAGGCATAAAACTGAGGCTTTAATACATACCCAAGCTTCAGTGACACTAGAGCGATGCAGTCCTGAGAATGACAGTCTGTGTCACCCAAGTGTCCTGCCTAAATCCATGGAAAAAACTACAACGGGCCGGTTCTATCGGAATCGGCCAACTAGTCCCAACATCAAGTCCCCCACTAGCAGACGGTTTCACGTCAACTACCCCACAACACTCTGAGGTTGTTAGACTCACTGTCAGCCGCCTATATAGCAATGTGAGGGGGCTGAGAGGAAAAGTAGTTGAACTCCGAAATCTCCAAGCACACCTACAACTGAAAACCATCATTCTCACTGAAAAGTGGCTAAACTCCACTGTCGCCAGCAGTGAAATCAGTATAGGTGATGTGGTTCTGGTCAGGAGAGATAGGGATAATAAGGAAGGAGGGGGAGTTGCTATATACTTTGATAGGCAAATTAAATGTGTGCGCGCAACGGACCCACCACTTATTGAACTCCCAGACTCCATATGGTGTCATTTCACAGTAGACCACACCAATCACTTACTGGGTGGCATCTACCGATCTCCCACCTCTGGGACAGAGCACAATCAGCTACTGCTCAGCACTATCACAGGGATACGAGATTCGGGCTACGACCAAATGACCATAGCTGGAGATTTCAATGCCACATCACTGAACCTTGGCTCGAGGTATGCTAAGGGGAAATTTGGCCGGAACCTACTGCAAACTGTTCGAAACACGGGACTGACTGAAATTGTTGGAGACGACACTAGGTGGGGCCCCAGTGGAAAGTCGTCGAAACTAGACTACATTCTAACTAGTGACCAACTACTCTTTGAAAACGTCCAGATCATGACTTCTCTATGAAGTAGTGACCATGCAGTCATAGGTTTCAATCTCGTTCTCCATGAGCGTTTGCAGTGGGATGTTACGCGACCATGTCTGCGTTACAGCAAGGCGGACTATGCTGAAATGCGGAGGCTCTTGTCCGACGCAGACTGGCCCTTAGCATGGAATGAGCTATCTGTGGATGAACACTGGGAATCTCAGTTACCGTCCCTTTAGTCACAACACAGCCCAAAAGAAAGCCATCATGGTTGAAGAGAGGCATACAACGTATTCTGCAAGCAGAGCGAAAGGCTTGGTTTACGTGGCGCGTATCTAAGCGTCAGACCGACCACGATGCACGCCTCGAACTCAGAAACTGGTGCAATGCAAGAGTCCGGAGGTACAGAAGGTTATTCCAGGCTAACCTTGCTAAAAAACTCCTAGCAAACCCCAAAAACTTATACCGATTCATGTCGAAAAGAAAACCAACAAACCAGGGGGCATACACCTTAGTAGGCCCAACTGGTCAATATCTCACTAGTCTTGAGGTGGCTGAAACATCCAGTTTAGCCTTTGCCAAACAGCTAAACAGAAATGTGGGTATTACAGTTACGGACCAAAGTGGTGGCACTAATATTCGACAGGAGGAAGACCTAGTGGCTAATCCCCAAATAGACCCCGCAATAGTACCAAAGAAGCTACAGAGACTCACACATTAGAGGTCCCAGGTTGTTACGAAATCAGGCCACCTGTTCTGAAATAGTGCGCCGAAGCTCTCTGTAGGCCTTTATGCGACTTCTTCCAGCACTCGATGGATTCAGGGAAACTGCCAAGGGAGCCATCTTTTCTCCGATTGTCAAGGTGGAGAGGGGCAAAATGCCACCAGTTATAGACCAGTAGCTCTACTCCCAGTGGTATCAAAAGTATTGACGATCACATCAGGAAATATTTCGATAGGTCTAATATACTCCATGAAACCCAACACGATTTCAGGAAAGGCAGACCCTGTATAACAAATCCACTATCAGCTTGGGACGATTGGATATCTTGCTGAGATATAAATGTTCCAGTCCATGTGCTTTTCCTAGACTTTGAGAAGGCATTTGACACTGTTCGCCATGACATTCTCCTACACAAAATAAGCCAGGCAGGTATAGGTAAGCCACTTCTGTCATGGTCAAAGGACTACCTAGCTGACATGCAATTTCGCACTAGGATCAATCGAGTTCGATCATCTTGGCACAGCCCGTCATCAGGAGTGTCGCAGGGTTCTATCCTAAGAAACACTGATGTTTTTGATTTTTATCAATGATCCACTATGCTGTCTAAGCTGCTCGACTCTTCGATACGCTGACGACGTAAAAATATGGAGGGCGATAAGGTGCCTGGAAGACACAGATAGGCTGCAGACAGATCTAAAGCTTCTGGAAGACTGGGGTGATCAGTGGCATGTTTTCCAACCTGAAAAATGCAAACTAGTGAAGTTACGCACCTGTAGACTGCAGAATGCAAGTAACACCATGCGCAATCAAAGCTTGCCCTGCACAACGCCGGAACGCGACTTAGGTCTAGTTCTAACGGAAAAAATGGACACAAGAGTAAATTACACGGGAGAAGCAGCCAGGGCATATGCGGTCATACACTTTACGCGTAGACAGGTGCACTCACTCCTGAGCTCTTTCTAAGGTTGTACAGAACATACGTCAGACCACAACTTGAAGTGCATAATATCATTACACTTCCACTGCGTGGGAGAGACGCCAACCTCTTGGAAAGATTCCGAATACGAGAGACATAAGGAGTGGTCGGTCTCTGAAATAAAACATGATGAAAGACTGAAGAAACTAGGCCCATTCGCATTCAGCTACAGTCGGCTTAGAGGGTCTCGATTACTGTCTGCAAGTTAACAGATGACCAGAATCACCGAAACGAAGGTGTTCTGCCATTGAGTAGGTACAGGCTTCCTAGTGAAAATCCCAGAAGGATGACTCACCAGAGGGTGAAGATCGGGGGGGGGCACTTCTTTTCACTGCAACGTTTCCATCTCTGGAACTCCATACCAGCAGATATAGCCTTCGCACCATCTGTGAACACCTTCGAGCGAAGGCTGGACAACCATGCAGCAACACAAAAACTGCGTCTAAATGGCCTGTCCCTTTAGAATCCCATACACCATTCAGGGGTAGACAACTAAATTCGTCGTTTCACTTCTTTACATTATCTCCCATCTTACTCTCCTGACAACTCAAACCACTGCGCTTACACCTGTTATTATCATTATTATTGATGTTATATACTTATATATCTATATGTGTATATAAATATATCAACTTCAAGTTTAACCAACTGTCTGTTTTTACGTTTTCTTTATTTCTTTTTCTGTCTTTTGGTCTGAATAACCTACACTAGTTACATATATTATTATCTTTTCTTTCGACGACGATACCGGAGGACTAACTGATGAAAAGATCAACTGCATTCACAGTAGTAAAAAAGACGTAACACACTGCATAATACAAACAACATATAATTAATCCCAACACTACATCTTTTGGAGTCAACCAAAGCTGTGACAGTCGAGTGTCTGGACGAGCTACGCAGAAGCTCACCAAAGATTAGGAACCTTTGCCTCACAATCAAAAGGCTGACGCAAAGAAATCAAATTGGATATTGGACCGCTACCCGGCACTTTTTAGAAGTGCGTAACTCAGCGTGCTTTGGGTGTATGAGGATTATTCACAAAATTTCTGCTCGTTCACCACTAATTCCATAATACTTGAGCTCCTTGTAAGCAGTAATCAAAGTTTCATGAATTAAAACTTTTTCATGCTCTATATCGCCTTAGAATAAAAGGGAAACAACTACACATACTGGGAATGTGTAAAAGAAAATTATGTAATGTGGGGTGAGTGGACACTTCTTAGAAATAGGACAAAAGCAAACCATGGATGGATGATATCATAATCCAGTATCCCGAAATAAAACTATGGTGTATGCCCTTATAAAAGCAGTTTTGGGAGTTTTGGTGGAAAATGCTGGATTTCCCCCAAAATGGCATCAAGCTCTTCTCTTAGGTTGAGCAAATGTCTTCCACATGCTTGAGGAGGAATTTTTGCACAAAAAATGACGTACATTCACAAGAAAATGCATGAAAACAAATTAAACGGATTATCTTTCCCTTACATGACTTAAAAATACGTCCCAGTTATGATGAAAAGCATCAGTTGCTAAGTTGGACTGGTTTCTGTAGATGTATTCACCAAAGTGACTGAGGATTGGCTGTTTTGTAAATCGTTTATCTCTCTTCTCTTGCTGTATAGTCCTCTCCAAAGCCCTCGGTTAAGTTACTAGGGTTTCAGTAAGAGGATCGACGACTACATACAAGGAAAATGGGGATAAAACAAATTAAAATAAACGACATTAACTATAAATCTATCCCTAATCGCAACCTTAACCCTAAATTTCACACTAGCCCTAACCTTAATCCTAACACTAACGACAATCCTTATCCAGCCGTAAACCTAACCCTAATCCCAATTATGACCGCAACCCTAACCCCAATACTCACCTTAACCCTAACGAGATGTTAACACATTGTCCAAACAGTAATTAAAAGCGTTATCTGGGTGAAATTTACTCCTTATTTGATGAATGGGGTTGATATTTCAGCTATTATAATGACCGGTTCCGTTAGCCAACGACTAGCATGCGTTCAACGTCATTGAAGCGTTCGCACTCCTAGGACGCTATTCTTGTACTTCGCCCAGTTTTTTACTTTCACCCACTTTTTCACACGTATTCCATATAAGTTCAAAAGTACATCACGTTTTGAACGGAGTAGGCCGCAATATACCCATATTTACTTCAAAGTTTCCTAAGCGCGAGAATTTAAGTTTACTTCTTGAATGCACTGCAATTATCCTAGTTGGAATTGGTTTTTAAAAACGAATGGGAGTTGTGTCCCACATCGGCAAGGTTCCATCACTGACTTCTAAACCCTCATACTCCGCACTCTAACTTTGTGGGAAAGAAAAGAAAAAAATGTATGATGCCTGTAGTCATCTCTTAGAATTTTGAATGTCTGTATGTGTACCGTGTTATAATCAGAAAGGTAAACTGTTAAGTCAGTCCTCATATTATGGATTAATCATAGCAAAAATCTTACGTGTAGCTTTTTTTGAACCGTTCCTAGAATATATCTCCATTTATGGTAAGGTTTATATATATATATATATTTATACTTACATCTTTTGCTTCATATTTTCTCATTTTTATCACCTAGGTGAATAAAGTGTTTTGATTCCGATATTCCTTTGGTGAAGTCGTGGCAGTCTTGCGCACTAAACTTCGAATTAAAGTAATATGGATATCTTGATAGAGAACGGTATGTTATAATACTTTCATAGTCTATTATATTGGTAAAAACATTAAGTGTTTCAAGTAGAATTTAGCGTCTGAACTAGATACTTCATCTCGTGTTAAGAGATCATATTTTAATTCCGCCGTCACTTCATTTACACAGATGTAAACGTCGGTTGCTTAAAGCTGTTTCAGCTGCATGGATGAAACTCTATTCACTAAGATTACCAAATGTGATGTCATTTTTTAGAAAGAAGCACACGTTAACTAATTATTCGACTTTTATGGTACACAATTTTTTTCAAATTTATAGACCTCCAATGTCATAGAGTAGAGCTGTGAATCACTAGTCTAGGCTCTTGACTTTTGATTGCAGGGTCACACAGGTTCGAATCCCACTCCGCTTACCGAAGTTTGAGCAGTCGAGAAGTATTTTTTGTATTACAGCTCATTGTCAACTGCATAAAAATGTGCTTGTTAAGTAACACTTCTTCCCAACTAAAGATGGACTATTTGTATGTCAGTTGTTTTAGATAAAGATACTAAAGCAAGTGTCGATCCCAGCAAAAACCTTTCTGTAAGTTCGGTATTACCACGGTGTTCGCACTGTGCAAGTGATAAGTTTTATTTATTTATCTATTCAAGTTTGTTTGAACGTAGAGTGAAACAGGTAGGTTTATTGACTGCCTATGCAGTTACACTATTCTTTTTGACTGTCAGGGTTTTTGGTGTGCACATTAAAATTCACCACTTATTGATCAAATTATAAGACTTGTTGCCAGGACTATCTTTACAAGTTTACTTTATTTTTTATTTTATTTTTGATTACAGATTAATCCTACACTGTATTTTTGGTACAAGTATGGAATTTTCAGCATGGATATCGGTAGCCCAAATTTTGCAGGCCGACCATAGATATCAGGTGTGCGTCGATAGGGGATTGAACCTCGGACCATGTGCATGGTCAGCGAGAATCCTAACCACTGTGCTACCGACGCAGTTATACATTTCCTGTAAAATGACTTAAATCACCAATTGTTATTTGTTCTATTTTCTGAAAATAATTTATTTAGTGAACAGGGGATGCATACTTACAAAACGAATTATAAATCTCATGCACTTAGTTTCTAAATTCCTCAAAAATTCAACTAATCAGTAATTATGGATACCGAAATAATTTTGTCGCCGTAAAGTTGAATCCGATGGTATGATTTTTCCACAAGCATTCTGTATTTATTCATAACGCCAGTGTGATGAAGTCGATTCTTAATTGTTACGGGTACTCTGTTTAATATTTATTTTTATTTTTGGGTTACCACTAGAAATGAAAGGACTGTGCTTGAATGGAACTCGTAAACGGTCAAATTATTTGTCTTGGGACGAATATTTTATGTCTATAGCACTTTTGTCTGCTATGAGGAGTAAGGATCCTTCAACTCAAGTAAGCAGTCTCCGTTTTTCATCTACATTGTTTCGGCATATGTATGTGGACAGTATTGCTGTTTTGGCTAGAAAAAAGTCTTCCCCTTTTAAAGAATTATAAAGTCAACTTCGTAGACAGAATTATAGCTTGCAGCTTGTCTTGTTTGTATTTATTTCTTCATTATATTGCTCTCTTCACTTCAAATGTTGCAGGACTGAACTGCGCTGGTTCTTAGCTTAAAGACAGAGTGAAGTGATAGAGCCAGTTGACCTCTTCACTTCTGTGGAAGTCGACATCAGCTGTAACGAGCTGATTGTTGACAAAATCGTAGCACGGGCATAAAAGACGTATAGTATTCATCAACTTATGTCATCCCTTCAGTAGACGTGATATCTGGCTATCTATCAACGCACCAGGTGGCTCTTTGTGGTTGTGAGACAAGGCCTTTCAAAGTGGGAGATATAAAACGGCTAGTTGTCTTTGACCGCAGGTGTTTGTGTTCTGTCTTCCGTGTTAAGTAGAATAATATGGAGAGTAATATTGAAGCTAAGCATAGAATTTTAGGTAAAGAGGGTAAGTTAGTCGATGTGAAGGTTAATAATGGATTGAGTTGGCTAAGATACATTGCTCATACCGAGCTGTCTTCTTCCTCATGGGCAATGTACTAGGCTAACTGACTGGTGTCAACAAAGAACTTTGCACCTATGTGCAGAACTTCGAGTGGCCACACTTCACTTAGCACACAAAGCAAGTGAAGAAAGTAAGAAGAAATGCAAAATAGTGACAATAAACAGATATGTGAGACAAAAAGAATAGTAATATTGAAGAACAGTACAGTCTTATTGGATATTTTAAGTCACAACGAGTGGATGCATCCGTCCCAGTCATTGAGAACGACTTACAGCCATATCACCAATTGTCTCTAGTCATTGGTTTTTACCGTCCTGAAGACCCCAACCAGTCAGGAAGTCTACACCTCCCTAGGTGGTTTAAACTAACAGTTGTGGATTTCATTGACTGATGAGGCCATGTTTTGGTCTGACAATCACTATACCTTTTCCAACCTGATCGGTCCTATGTCAGCTAACATTTCCCGTCGAGGAAGGCGAGGTAACACATCTCCTAACCATCTCGATCGATGCAGCTGCTTTACAACCTCGTCGATTAATTTCCCCTCCCACTTACCTAGTGCTTGACGCCTAATCTAAATATTTCCCAGCCTAATATACCACCTCACACGGGGGATATAACGCAGACACTTATGATCAAAGACAGATAACCACCCTTTTCATGTCTTCCAATCTCAATGGCCATGTCTCTCTCACAGCCATAAAGGAGGACAGAGTGGACTGACGAGCAGTACACACTTTGGTCGATAGCCGGATGTCACGTCTACGCCAGGGACGGCGTGAATTGGCATCTGCCAAACGAGCCTTCTGCATTCGTGCCGATATTTCGTCAGCGACCAACCCGTTGTCATTGGCTGATTCAACTTCCCTACCACTTCACTCCCTATCTTTATTCTAGGAGTCGATGTAGTTAAGCCCAGTCGTGTAGCGTCATCTTACGTAGTATTCCGCCGGAAAATATCTAGTGGCGGACAAACCAAAACATGGCATCACTCCGTGAAAATCCTTAACAGTTAGTTTGAGTCATATACGGAGGAGTAGGCTGGCTGTTTGGGATACTCAGGATGCCAAGAAACAATAGCTGGAGACTGTCAAAGTCGTTCTCAATAGTGCAGATGCATTCACTCTTTGTGATCTCCAACATCGATTAAATCCTTATGTTTCTCTATGTTTCTATTCTTTCTTCCGTACATTTCTGTTCATCACGCTTCTTTTGAATCTTTGACTTCCTATATCTTTGGTGTAGGCGTTGCATCAATCGTACTGTGTACGAATAACCTGTTAATTTAATAAACGAGAAATCTGCGATCAACGTCTTTCTCCACTTAACTTTATCACCCTTTAGAACTATTTCAATCTGTGTATTTCTTAAAGCATTCAAAAATAACAACTATTTACTTCTAAGTTACTTTCTTGAATTTTTCAATGCACAATGAAATAATATTTCTACCTTGATAACTTAAATGATCTCGGATGACTGGTGTGATCCATATGCTTTACCACGCAATCATTTGATGAATCCACGAATTGTTTTATTTTGGAATTCATGAGCCATTGTATCGGGTTCTAGTGGCTGAACAGTCTACGAGCTTACCTCTTGACCGGGAGGCTCTGGGCTCGAGCCCCAGTGAGTACGTACTAATGAAGAGTCCTAAAGAAAAGGGGAGCAGCTGTCCAGTACTTCATGGTTTTCAGTGTTTCTCTGACTGATATCAGCTTTCTGTCAAATCAAAGTCAATAGAATCCTTGAGCCTGCTAAAATTGTCTCTGAGTGCGCTTGTTAATCTAAAGGCGTTACGCCACTGAAAATCCTACATAAGATTTCCGAAAACGCTGTAAAGATTTTAAATTCCCTTTCATGATTTTCACTATGATAACTTATTCAGACCTTTTTAGTTACTAGTTTATTTTTCAAGTGTTGGTTTGCAGGGATATGAATGGTTATAGGTTTGATCTCAAGTTGACGAGTGTACTGGACAACTCTTTCGTCCTCGCTATTCAGGACTCTTCAACAGTATGCAGCCACCGGGTTTCAAGCCCAGTACCTACCGGTTACATGGTGAACCTGTGGTGAGGATTTTGGTGAAAAGCTTGTAACCAGCGGAGTTCACCAAATCAGATAAAAGAACAGTTACTTGCCGATGACAATCCAGTGACTGAATGGTCTATGAGCTCAACTTCTAATCGAGTTCGAACTCTGATAGTTTATTTTCCGCGAACTTCGAATAAACTATGGGGCATAGTTCTTCAATAGTAGTGTTTTGCTTGTTTATTATATTATTGCTGACTAGTGCCAACTAGCACGAAACCCAGGTCGAAGGCATCCTGCCGATCGCCCCCAACCATCTAAAAACATCAAATCAATGTGCACCGTGTTGGTAAGCTACCTAGAATGGTGGCCACATTGCACACCTGACTGATAGAATTCATTCTGCACCAAAGAAAGGACTCGACACGTCACACTAGTTACTAGTGTCCAATCAGAATACCCAATACAATCCTACAAGAGGTCAGTCGCTAGCCCGATTAGCTCAGTGGTAACGTCTCTGACTGCAGCACTCACTGGGTGACTCGGGTTCGAGTCTCAGAAGGTCAGAGCATGAGTTCCTTCAAGGTTGCAGAAACGCCTTGCTGACTGGTGAGTGCCAACTAGTACGAAACCTAGGTCGAAGGCTGGACTTCCTGTGGCCGATTGCCTCCAACTACCTAATAACATTAAATTATATTTCGTCGTTGCTATTACAGCTACTTCTTGTTTTGATTTCACATTCATTGTTCGTTCACATGTATCGACTTTTTTTCTCAGTTATTTATATATATTACTTCTTAGCATATTGTCTAAATACAAGCCAATACTAATATAATATATGTACAATATTTTATATTTCAGGTTGGTGCTTGTATAGTTAATACAGAGAATAAAATTGTTGGGATAGGATATAATGGAATGCCAAATGGTGTTTCAGATGATGATGTCCCATGGGGAAAAGAATCAACTAATGAACTAGAGAATAAATATTTATACGGTATATTGTTTGTTCTTATTTAAAACAATTTTACAGTTTGTCATGCTGAATTAAATGCTGTATTGAATCGTAATGAAGCCAATTCTAAAGGGTGTATCCTATTCTCAACAATGTTCCCGTGTAATGAATGCGCCAAAGTGATTATACAAGCAGGTATCAAGGAAGTGGTATATTATTCGGATAAGAAAGTTGGAACACAATCTAATATAGCTGCTAAATATCTTTTTGAAAAGGCTGGTGTTAAAATAAGGTATGTATAGAGAGTATAATATTTTTGAACTCATAGAAAATTCCCATTGTAACATTTAGAAAGTGATTCAGTGAAGAGACTCTTTTCAACGAATTTATCATCAAGCTGTAAAATCGTATACATATGGTGTCTTTTAAGAAGTTATATCCGGTGAGGGAATTGAATCATAGGTGTGAATGCATAAAATAATAATAGTAGTATGAAATGCAATTAAAAACTAAAATGCTGTCCTGATACTGTGGAAGATGAGTTATAGCTTTTGAGGAAAATCCTAATAGAAAATGGATTTCCACCACGTTTTATAGATAAGAATATACATTCAAATTCTATAAAACATGACTGATCAACCGTACCCAAGAAAATGCTTTAAATGAGCTTGGAATTCAAAGGGGACTTAGCTTTCTATATCATGGAACGAAGGATATCATAATTCCTGCCTGAAAAAAACATTCCTTGCTGCATCTCTGAGAATAGCCTTTACTAGTCGACCATTACTGTTCAGTAACCTGAAGGACAAGATCCCGCTGTTGACCAACTCTATGTATGTTCATCAATTCACATGCTCATGTGGAGCTAGGTATATCGGTCATTCGACTCGAGTTTTGTCCAAGAGGGACAATATCCTGCATGGTTACGAAGAGGTGGAAGTAGAACTATAAGAAGCGCGATCGTTGAACATCTTGTCGATAATGATCACCCCATCTTAATAGCCTCCGCCTTTAAAGTCATCTACAAGGCAAAGAGTAATTTACCCAAATCCCTACGTACTCGACTCATCTGTATTGCTGAAGCCATCTTTGGCTATCGAAACAGAAAAGCCATATCTCTGTGTACAGAAAAAGTTCGTCTAACCCCTCCAACTTTCATGGTCTTAATCCATTTATGTTTAAGTATGGTAATCCCCAATCATATTTTAGCTCTACCATTTTTTTCATTTTGTCTATTCAATTTGTATACTCTTCCTTATTACGTCAATTGTTACTATTACTACTCTCACTTTGAACTGTCCCCGGTATTATTTCACTTGTCATTCCAAATCGATTCTTTTTTACGTTAAATTCTATGCTATCAAATTCCACACAATATTACTTGACGTTTTTATTTTATTCGATTTATCTACAAATCCTATAATTGCACACCCTTTTTCAAGTTCTATCCATCCTATGAATTAATCTTTATATGACATTAATTTGCTTTGCCACTTGACATTTAACTGATTATAATCACAAACATTTTAGTTTTTAATTGCATTTCGTATTATTATTTCATGTATTCACACCTTTGATCTAATCCCCTCATCGGATATAACTTCCTAAAAACCATATATATACGACTGTAGAGCTTGATGATAAATTCGTTGAAAAGAGTCTCTTCTCTGAATCGCTTGTTTTGATTTAGTATAATATTTATCATTTATATATGCATTTTGTTGTAGACCTTTCACTCCAACTGGTCGAGTTGTCAATATTTCTCTTAGCTAACCTAACCATATGGATGGATGGATGGATATCCAATCAAGGAGAAAAGCACTGGCACTTGGTCAGTGTAACTGTTTTGTAATAAACCACAATGTACTTATTTATTGAAATGTAAATAAAATCGTTATTTTTGTAACAAATGTTTCAGAAAACACTTGCGAATTCTCTTTTTTTATTCATTTACGTTCCCAGTGGAACATAAGGCTTCAAGCTAGTGGCTTGAAGTTTCTGTAGCAGTGGCGTTTATTTTTACAGGATGGGGTTGCTAGCCTCATGCCTAACCTTTCCTCTTTATCAGCTTTATTTTTAGCTTAGCGAGGTAAAGGAGTGCGTCGGTTGCTGGGGATCGAACCTCAAACCATTTGTATGGTCGACGAGCATCCTAACCGGTCTGCCACCGACGCTAAACACTAAATCGGTAAAATCTCAGCACCATATAGAGCGGCTGCAAGAAGGGTAATTAGGCCCTTGAGATTATAATTCTGCTTTTGATGTTCGTTTAGAGTTCGTGTGTTTGTCGAGACGGAGTGCAAATAAGCTTTGTTGTAAAAATAGTTTCAATATTTCGTAGAAAACCAACAGATGTCAATATCCCATTAGTGGATTGCCACTAGTAGACAGTTATATAGCGTTTAGTATTTGACTTCTTCCGTCTGTATAAAACTTAAGACTGGATCAATGATATTCTACATCGACGTCTGTCTCTTACACCATTGCAGTTCAAAAATTGTGGACTCTATTTTATGCTTCTACGAAGTACTTTGCATTTTTGTAATACAAAACAGACAAGGACTTGTAACCCTTGAAATGTTTGTTATTGGTGTGTGCTATTGTGGTGAGAGCTGGCTGCTAGACAAATTGGTAGACAGTAATTTACGTCAATGCTTACGTCCCTAATATTGGTTGCGAGAAAAATAAGAACAAGGACCGATTCAACAACCAACCACAGCAGAATTTTCGTAGACGGATACTATTTGCGGATAGATAATCTGAACTTCAAGGAACGAACACAAACAGATGAAAGATTAACGTTCAACGAGAAACAACCAATCAGAAGACTGTGTTTCTTTGTTTACAATAATCTCTAATAATGTACATGAAAATCCATAAATGTGTGTTGATTTCCTAAATAAACGATCTGCTGCCCGGCCCTTGTCTTCTGTTGTTACACTATCACACATAAGAATAATACCGTTTGCTCATATGGTGACCATATTCTTCTTTTTGAGGGAACTGTGAAGTGGATCAATTCAAGCTGCCACACTACATATATAGACAAAAATGTAATAAAAATATACATAGTTGCGGGTATATACGAGGTAAAACCAACTGAGGAGACATGAAGGAGGACTTTCAGAATCTCGATAATCACAACGAAAGCCATGTCATCAACTACTGACTCTCAGCATCGTGAAAACCCCAACCCAGGAAGTCTACAACTTCCTATGTGCCCCAAACTATCTGTCTAAAAAATTCATAGATTAAGTACCATGGCTTCAATTGATCACCAAATTCTTTAATCACTTACTGGACACTGTTCCTCGAAAGTAATCAGATGGAGATGCGACAGGTGTTTTAGAATTTTGATGATGATAAAGAGTGAATAAGTGGACGAAGTTCAGTATTAACAATAGAGCTCTATTTCAGACAATATTTTACTAACACATAGTACGGACATTCTCAGCACGTTTACTTGCAAAATATGTCCTCTTCGTACAAGATCTACAAGAGAAATAATAACCTACAGTATATATCAAGCGGCGCAGTCTTTTTCTACACGAAGAAAGATTCAATTCTCAACAATGCTCTTCCTTTGTAACGATAGAAGACAAAGGCCAGGCAGCAGATCACTTATTGAGAAAATCAAGAGATATTAATAGATTCCTATGTACATTATTATTAGCGTTATTGTTAGCAGAGAAACAACGTCTTCTGATTGATTGTTTTCTTGATGTACGTTATTCTGTCATCTCTTTGTGCCTGTCTCTTAGAAAGTTAAGCCATATGTCTGCGATTCGTATTTGCATACATTAAGTCTACTGTGATTGGTTGGTGATTTTCCCAAGATAAGGTTTTGTTACTGTCTTTCCTCATGCCCCTGATTCGGGACGTAAATTGTTGTCTACAATTTTGTCATGTAGACAACTCTCACCGCACCTTCTTCACCTTACGGAACTGTACAGTATTTTGTTGAATGCTAATCAGAAATGGGCGCGAGTCCCTGTAGTAAACAACGGATATAACTGCACGATTAAAACAAGGGGAAATACAGAAGAGTGTAAGCACTGTTATGGATGGAAATTTTGAGGATTTCGCCAAATTAGTAAAACTGTTTTTCAGAAGACCTGTTATCTTGAGATACTAGTGAGCAAATTATAATCTCCTAAGTAGATTAGAAAAAGACACTTGTAAATCATTGTCCACTACACAGAAAATAAATATTACCATATATTTGAGGAGTGGAAGTCAAAAATTCTGAAAGAAACTAAATTAAGAGGAAAGGATTCAAGAGGGCGACATCAGTATTCGTACATAGACTCTATGACTCCAATCGAAGCAATAGTTTGAAAAAAAAACAATTCTGAATACAGCTGAACTAAAAATAAATGATCTTTAAGTACTCTGTGGCTAGTTGAATGCTTCTCTAGACCTTGTATGTGACCCGAAGTTTGTAGCCTAGTGCGTCGATGGTCCAATGGTATAATGCTCGCCAGCCACGCGAAAGCCTGGATTCGGTTCCCAACCGATGATGCACTTGTCAATCTCGCCTAGCTAACTAACAATAGTAAGTTCAGGGAAGACGTAAAAAGGTTGGATATATGAAACTAGCTGTATAAACAATACGGATACTGAAATTTGAGGAACTCAAAGGCAATCGAAACGCTAAGGAGGAATTTTTAAAAAAAAACAATCTGTAGTCTGAAGCGAGTCTAATTCAGGTGATTTGTGTTCAATGAATGCAGACAGCCAGTTGTGGCTTGCTCTATAACAGTTAATTGTAATCGTTGTATACATACCTCCTCGTATCGGTCTAAATATTTATTTATGGCATTATTTTTTCTCGTTATGACTTCAAGCCAGCGTAACAACAACATCTGATCGCTGTGTCAAGTGATGAAAACATTATTACACTTTTTTTTTTTTTGGTTGATGAGAGATGCTCAGCTCAGTCAATAAATTCCGTTGGCATTAACAAAAATTAAATCACTAAGTATTCCTGTATGATTCGGATTGTTGAACATATAGCTAAAGCGCAAGAACAAACACTGAAGTAAAATAAAAATGGATCTATTTTTGTTTCGTTTACAACCTGAATCAAATTAATATGAGCTATATACATTACAATTTTAACATACATTGGTTCATCAATTAGAATAAGTCCACCATAAGGGAAGTATGGCGTCATAATGAAGTAAATGTAAAACAATAAGCTACTCAAGATGCTACAAATGTATGCCTTCTTAGAAAGTCCTCGTTGTAAATAGTAAAATATGTTGAAAACCAGGGAGTACTGGACAGCTGTTTCGCCCTAGTTTGGGAATCATCGGAAGTACGCACCCACTGCCGTTCGAACGCAGGAATTTCTGGTTACAAGACAAGCTCGTATACCACATTCAGCCACTGGGACCAGATTCAATGACCAGCACATGAATTCTAACTCCTACCAATTCGTGATTTAACGCTAGTGACTTGCTACAAGATGGAGTTTTCTGTTGCTCTAGTGAGAAGTCGTGGTCAGTGAGGTCTATCCAGTCAGGTGAGAGGATGAATGGTGGTCGGTCGACCTAAATTACGAATTGGTAGAAGTTAGAATTCATGCACTGGCCACTGAATCGGATCCTAGTGGCTTACTGGTCTACGAGCTCGCTAGCCTTGTAACCAGAAGGTCCTGGGTTCGGTCGCCAGTGGTAGGTGCGTAATGCCGATGATTCCCAAACTAGGATGAAACAGCTGTCCAATACTTACTGGTTTTCAATGGTAAAAACAAAACTAACCCTTACAAACCAACTATAGAAAAATATATACTGCTGTGGGTACCAACATGATAAATCACGAAATTACTCAAGCAAGTATATAAGTTAGTAATATAATTGCATAAAAGACACTAAAATACTGTCAGTAGAGCTTAAAGGATGAAAAATTTGGGCCTAACTGGAAAAACGCTGCAATCAAAAAATCAGTTACGACAAGTTGCACATTTTTCCCTTTATACTTGATCAAGCTGTGACAGATTAAGATATTCACGAAGTCGGAATTACAACAGTTTTAGAACTGAAGTGTCAACTATCATGGAGTCTATGTGTTTCCACACAAATGGACAACGCTTTTGTTGCATTTAGAGATTGGAGGGTTTTCGAGAACCTGAAATTTGAAATTTCTCAGGAAAAAACACATGTCGAAGCTCTTTTGGAGAATAATTACAACGCCCTTCGTCTACTTTTTTCATTAGGGACCTACATACCTTAGTTATACATCAGATTTGCTGAATAACTAAGAAATAGCGAATAGCTTCTAGTCGAATGCGACAGAACTCGACAGGGAGGAATTTATTAGTTTTAGGAGTGAAGACTATAGTGGCTGTTCGCCATGAGAAGACTATCTACTCACAAAATCTATAATTATTCAAGAGTTCGTTTGTAGGGATTTCATTTGTTTTCAAGTTCGACCACGGATTGGTATCAGTTGGAAAACCATCGAAAACCAATTAGGGAGTACTGGAGAACTGTTTCGTTTGAGTTCAGAGACTCACAAAAAGTACGCATTCACTGGGGTTGGAACCCAGTGTGGCGCGTGCTATTGACGGGATTTATCAGTAGTATTTTTAAAAACGCCCATCGGCCCGAAAATTTCAAATAGCGGAGAGACGGATTTGGAGTTAAAGAGAAGCTAAACACGGGAGACACGGAAACAGCATAAAGAAACACTATACGAAAAGGCAGAAGTTGCACAACAGGGAAGGTCTATGGAAATGAAGACTTTCAGTATCCACCCACCGGGGTTCGAACCCAGAACCTTCTAGTTACAGGGCGAGCTCGTAGACCATTAAGCCAATGGAATCCAATCCGAAGGTCAGCCCATAAATTCTAACTTCGACCAATTCGTGATTTTAGCGCGACCACCAGCTAATGTTATCGGCAAGTATTTGTCCACACTCCCGACCGAATTACTGGCATAAATTTATTCCTACGCATTAGTGAGTAATCTCATTAAATAAAAGCTCCCATCTTCTAGAAAAGATATTATTACATTCACAAAATAAAATCACAATTACAATATACATGATAAGAAAAAGTAATTACAGAATCAACTAAACATTTCTTTACAAAGCCTCATTACACTGAGAACGTTGATTCACTAGTAAACAATTATGCAGTTTATTGATTCGATCGATTGATTCTGATACTGACAACAACTGGATCAGTTCAACAACAGGACTTCCAATCTAAGTAAATCAAGGATAGAAATTACAAAATGGATGATACAACACATCAAAACAATTTAAAGTGATTATCTCTCAGTTGACGATAGGATACAGCTTATTCTGTTCATTTGGTGGAAAATGACATTTTGTCAGCATAGGAAAGTTTCCACAGATGATTTGTCTTTATTACAATGTAGCCTATTTACCATAAAATGAAGGCAACTGTAAAGTACATTTGAATCTTTTTACTCTCAATTAGTTGATGGTGGTTGTTGTTGCGGTCCGTTGGTTATCTTCATCACCTCCGTTTTCTCTATGTTCATGAAGACAGGACTGAAGGTGAACGCAGAGAAAACAGAGGTGATGATTGTTGATTGTTTTCTTGCTGAAGGTTATTCTGTTATCTCTTTGTGGCCGTTCCTCAGAAAGTTAAGCTAAATGTCTGCGAATCCTATTTTCCCACGTTAAGTCCGCTGTGATTGGTTGGTGAGTTCCCCAAGGCCAAGCCCTTTTTATCGTTTTTCTCATGACCCTGATTCCGGACGTAGCACTGACGTAAATTGTCGTTTACAATTCTGGATTGTTCGCAGTCAGCTCTCACTACACCATCAACGAGAGAGGTTTAACAGAGGCTACTTCCCTCACTTATCTAGGAAGCATCGTTTCAACTACAGGTGGAACGGATGAAGATATCAGAATCGGAAAAGCAAGATACGCATTCATCAACCTAAAACCAGTTTGGAAATCTTCTATACTCAGTATAAGGAACAAGATTCGCATTTTAAACACCAATGGCAAGTCGGTCCTTCTATACCGGTCAGAAACTTGCACTGCGTGTCATGAAAAGGATTTCCAACAGGTTGGAGACTTTCATCACCAGCTGACTTCACTCCATACTGAAGATCAAATGGCCAGAAAGAATCGGTACCAAGAAACTCTGGGAACAAACCAACCAAGAGCCGATCGCTCAACAGCTATGTAGGAGAAAAATGGAGATGGATAGGGCAGGCATATATTGAGGAAACCGTTGAATGACATCTTGCTCGTTGCAGACTATCGCTCAAGTGGAATCCAAATGGAAAGCGACGAGTCAGGGTCATCAATGCTAGGGTGACATGGAGGAGATCGTGTGAGGAAGAGATAAAAAATTTGGGCAATCGTGGAGAATGGCAGAAAATAGAACAAAGTGGAGATGTGTTGTTGAAGCCGTATGTTCCACTGGGAACCCAAGGGAACAAAAATAAAAAATAATAATACTCTCAATTAGTAAATCTATTTGAAGGGTCGTGATTACGAATAAATGCTGTCTAGACTTCATCACAATGAATGCTACCTATACGCATAAACATACAGTATATATGGACGTTTCCTGAAAAATTATTGTGTTTATATTTTCAATTGGTGAAGCTGATGTGGAGGAAACAAATGAAGTTGGAATATTTGAGGACAATTGAAGAAGAGACGTCAAAACGAAGGACAACACGCGTATGTTATTTGCGCAGTTGACTGCATATGAAATCTAATGTTTTATTGATACTTATTGCAATTCGTTCGAACAGGAACTCTACCATTTCTCACTAGTCTTATAGAATAATTTGATACTGTTGCGTAGTTAATGGACTTGTGAAAACCGAAGACAAAACTAGTGGGGTTGAGATTGCTGTTGAAAGACCGGTCACTGTGACTGGTGGCAAATACAAGCGGAGTTTAGCGGACAGGTGCCAGCAAGACTTGACAGTTTGAAAATTCATCCTTATGACAGTAAGATTGTGACAAGTCTTGTGTGAAGCAGCTACTGAGTGCGACTCAACAGATGCGCATCAAAGAAGTGTCAATAAAATTTGGAAACAAGAACTACCCGTACTAGTGTAAGTAGAACTGATAAATCCTAATCCCTTTTAGGTATTTCTGTGAGGTAGTGCCAAATTGAACTGTGATACACCTGATAAATCAGATAGTTTATCGCAATTCGTACAAATAATTGTGAGGTACATAACTTGGGCTAGTGTCTTTTATTACAATATTATGAACGTCACACAGCTGAAGGAGAACCAACTGAGGACTTTTTTAAGCTTAAAGTACTTGGAAATTGAAGGGGAGCACAAGATTTATAGTTTAAAATTACATTGGTACCAAACTGATACGCTGTATAGGTTGGAAAACTTTGTTACAGTTTTTCACAATCCTAGGTTTTTGAATGGCTTAGCAATACGTTTATATATCTATTTTATACTACCAACCAAATTTTTTGAGAACAAAGTGTATCGTTTCAGTTTGAAACTTTGACTGACTGGTTACAACATAGAACTTTGCACAGATGTGCAGCAGTTCAAGTCGCCACACTTGACTTAGCAAACAAAGCAAGAGAAGAAAGCAAAAGGAAATGCAAAACAGAAACAGTTAACAAAGATATGAGGCGAAAGGACAGTAATATCGAAGAACAATAGAGTTTCATTGGGTGTAATAAGTCACAAGAAGTGGATGCATCTGTGCCGGCCATTGAGAACTATTTTGAGCCGTATCACCAATTGTCTCCAGCCATTGAGATACTGTCTCGAGGACCCCAACCAGGACGTTTACATCTTCCTATGTGGCTCAAACTAACTGTTGTGGATTTCATTGACTGATGAGGCCATGTTCTAGTCTGATCACCACTGGTTAACTTTTTTCCAATCTGAATCATCCTATGTCAGCTAACATTACCCGTCGAGGAAGGCGATGGCTAAGCAAGCGCAGTAATACATGTCCTAACCATCTCAACCGGTGCAGCTGCTCCACAACCTCGTCGATTAATTTCCCCTCCCACTTACCTAGCACTCGACAGCTAACCTAAATGTTTCCCAGCCTAATATACCACGTCACACGAGAGAGAATGCAGGCACATGTGATCAATGATAACTAGCCTGCCTTTACATGTCTTCCACTTTCAATGGCCATGTCTCGCTAACACCTATAAAGGAGGACAGAGCTTGCTACTGAGCATTACAAACATCCTTTGGTCGATAGCCGGATATAACGTCTATGCCATAGACGGCGTAAACTGGCGTATGCGAACCTAGCCTTCTGTATTCGTGCTGAGATTTTGTCAGCGATCAACCCCGTTGGCGTTGGCTGATGCAACTTCCCAAATAAGTGAAGTGGTCAACACGCTCAGATCACCACTTCACTCCCTATCTTTATTCTAGGAGTCGATGTAGTCAAGCCTAGTCGTGTAGTATCATCTTACATTTGATAGGAGCGAATGCCAAAACATTCGCAGATTGCAGCTCAAAGTGTTCAGAAGACTGCATTTTGTCAGCGTCTTCACCTAGGAGGACTATATCATCTGCATATTCTGAGTCAACGACATTATTCCCTGGTAACTTTGAGCCCAGTTAAAGACTGTATCTATGAAAATTAACCGGCCAAGTTGTTACACCCTAGATTGGGATTCCCTAGTAAAGCACACACTCATGACTCTGTGATGAACTTAGCCCAGAACAAAAACTTCACTTAATGGTGTTACAAAACTGACACTCAACTAATGATGTATATGACTGACCTTCAGAGTACTGGAGCACAGTATCAGAATATATCGAGGTGAAGCTTTCAATCTCAGCAAACATTTACTTTCACAAAGCTGCATTCCAATGTGATGCATAATTCGGTTCTTTAGCACTCGTCCAATTTACTCTTGGTGAACTGGTGCACACCACCAACAAACTTGACCAAGGATCCTATGACATGTGGCTTAATTCAATTACCCATAAACAAGATCTCCGTTAGATGACTCAAAGGAATATTTCATGTATACTAATCAACAAACTTCTTGTTATTGTTATGTTATAGCAAGCATCAGTACCGAAGCTGAACTACTCAAGTGAGATTCCACAAGTAGTTCGATGGTGTGCTATTGCACTTAAGAAGTCTGTGGAAATATGGGGTAAATAATGTTATAAGCAAACCCGTACCTGTGGCCTAATGTTTAACGTGCTGGGTTCTGTAAGATTCCTGGGTTCGATCCCCAGTGGGGGGTCAAGGGTGCATCCTACTGAAAAGTCCCGAACTGGAAACACACCGCTGTTCAGTATTCAATGGATTCTCAAAAACTGAGGCCAACTGGTAAAAAAAACTTGGAGTCACTCAAATGTCTTCAGATTAACACTTGTTAACTTCAAAATGTCCGATAGGTATTAGAAATAATCTACTCAGTAATGTCACTAATTAGGATAGTATGCTTTCCCTGATAAAAGTTAGGATTTCCTGCTGTATCCTAACCTACCAGTTCACTTCTGACACCAAATGCACGACCGACAAAAAGGTGTTGCTGACGTGATCCAATGATTTACATAACACAATACTCTGCGTATGAAAAAATTAGTGCAAATACCAAATCACAGCAATGTGCAGTCTGGTTAGAATCCATTGTTAGAAACCCTTAAGCAAGTTTCAGAATTTGGCATTTCTTTAATTTTACTACAATAGGTAACAAGAGTATTGGCCAGCCCAATACAAAGAAACGAATTGCTCACCTGAGATCCAGTAAGACCCAATCGTAATAAATGCATCACAGAGTCACGTTTCACACCTGACCGTTGGCATACATTCTTTAGACAGGCTGCTATGGTATCCGATGTGATATTATCACTTGGAAGAATACGATTCATCTCTTCTACAAAATATTCGAAAACGCTTAGTATGTCTTGTAAAGGAATCTTCATAAGACCACTATTGACAATGTGCTCTTTACAAACAACTGGATCGGGAGATTTCCATGCATACAGGAAACCATTGTCATTGGTAGCTAATTCACTGAGGCAATGAATACGTCCTTTTAAGAGATTTAGTTGTTTTAACATTTGTACATCATCTTGAATAGAGTGACTACAAAAACAAAGAAAGAAACGATGAATAGTTACAGGATTTCATCATGACCTGACATCGATTAGAGAACCATTGGAAAACCTAGGAGTACTGAACAGCTGTTTCGCCCCAATTTGGGACTCTTCATCGGTACACATTCACCGCCAGGATTCGAACCCACGACCTTTGGTTACAAGGCGAACTCGTAGATCATTGAGCCACTGGGACCCGGTGAGTTTGTGAATATGGTAAAATCAGGTATGAAACTGAGTCGGTTTAGTAATACGATGCACTGCACAAAAACAATTTCCCGATTTCTAGATTGGTTGCATCACAGACTGCTGAGAGCTAAGAAGCAATACACCGACGTAATGTCGTACGGGAAAAACACGAAATGTACGCATAGGTCCATAACTGTAATACTATTAGGCATTTAGTTAGTGAGTCAAAATCGAATGTCGATGACTGCCAATTCCCGTGAATTCGCAATGTAGCATTGCAGTTATCGAATTCCATAGGTGAATGTCTGTCCGCATATTATATATTCGACCTGAAAGAGACTGCTAGTCATTATTTTTATCGAAACTTTTAGAAAGCCGGGGTTAGATCTCCGGCCGACGCACTCCTTTACCTAGCTAAGCCAGAAATAATCCTGGTAAAGAGGAAAGGTTGAGCATGAGGCTAGCAACCCCATCTTGTAAAATAAACACTGCCACAGAAACTTCAAGTCACTAGCTTGAAGCCCTATGTTCCACTGGGGAATGTGGAGGAAAAAAACCTATACTCAATCACAATTAGGTTGTTGGTTTTCTACAGATTTTATTGACTCCGAAATTGAATTATATTCGTGATCTTTTAATTATTATTACGGAACATATGTGATTCCGATTAACAGTTAACAGTAAGAGTTTTAGCGTCCCCTCTTTAGTGAAACCTAAACACACACTAACCGGTCACTGTCTTCCAGTTAGTTTAATAACTCAATAGCCGATAGTATCTAAGCATCAACACATAGAATCCGTAAACGAAAAGAGACTATTCAATGATGTTTAACACATTAAGAGAGGTACCTTAATCAAAAGTAACTGACTGGCGTTTTGTGGAGCTCCAGGGTAATTAGTGTTGGAGTGCTATGCGAAAATGTCAAGGATGACATGCCAGCAGCATGCGTTATGCCTACCAAGTCACCTTCTAGTATTCAGATACATTAGGATGAATGTATTCAAGTACCGGTTCACTCCTATATCTCTTGAATGATGACTTAGTAACACACCGGTTACTTTCAGTCTTACAATACTTTGTTGTTCTTCTGTGATCCTGAGTAAAAGGTGTAGTTATTAGCGTAGAAATTAGTACAGAAATTACTTCCCAAGTGAATGACCCAACAGTACAATAACTTTAAAAAAGAGCGCCATTGGTTTAATAATGGTAGAATGCTGCTCTCAAAACCAGGCGCAGTCGGTCTTGGGTTCAATTCCCGATTGGGAAACTGGCAAATCTCGCCTGGTTTACTAGCCAATAGATAGTAGTATGAAGAGATGGAGGATTTCATAATGAGCTGACATCAGTTGGAGAACCACTGGAAAACCAGCTGGGAGTACTGGACAGCCAGCTGTTTCGTCCTAGTTTTGGACTCTTCATCAGTACGCATCCACCGGTGTTCGAACCAGGACCTTCTGGTCTACGAGCTCGCCTTCCAGTGGTTCTCTAACTGATGTCAGCTTATGATGAAGTCCTCCAGTCAATCAAACGAAATCCCTACAAAACCAATAGTATGTCAGAAAAAGAGGGACGGCTGAACATGCAACCGGTGTGTAATGCCACCTTAAAAAATCAACACACCACCGCTGTGCTGAACTGTCAAGAAAGCTTGAAGCCACGCCACTCGGAATGCAAAGCAATTTAAAAAACACAAAACAACAACAAACTTTAAATAGTATAAATCTCATTACCTGTTTGGAAAAGATATACTGTCAACATTTGACTGTAAATATTCTCTTATCGCTTCTAATATTTGAGGAGTTTTATACACAGTTATCGTCTTGTTTGTGTGATTTTGATGTGCTGCTGCTGCTGCTAAACAATAATCTAATGCAGTGCTTACAACTGTATCAAAATACAGTCGACTGGATATTTTTAAGAGATCTACTGACAATTGTGCATTATTTCGATTGATATTTGTTAAATTAAACTATATGAAATTAAAAAAACAGGGGAGCAGTCCGAAAAGTGTGTTAACTACAACACAATACAAAACACATAAGTGAATATAAATAAATGAAATAACTTTATGATAGATATAGAAAATCACCCAGTGAGAAGACTGTTGAATATTAAACATCGTCCGCTAGGCGGTAATCACTCGAGTCGAACTTGACTGAGAAACGACAAGTTGGGCGTTCGTCCAAAGATGGGTGACTATGGACAATCGTGCGGCTAGATAATAGGAGGAGAAGGCGGAGATGCGCTGGTGAAGACCCATGTTCTACTGGGAACACAAAAGAACAATAATAATACTAATAATAAAACCAAATGTGATAAAACATTGTGAAGGTTACATTACTAAATGTGAGGGAATTTCATCAACACAAACACACACACACCACAAAGTTACGGTCTTTATGAAACAATAATTGTCGATAATGTCTTTGAATTTCAGAAAGTAATTTACAAACACAATACGAAATGCTTGAAGAATATCAAAAGAACAACTATCCGCCTTTACTTCAGGAGTTAGAACTCTCCTTTCACAGTATGAAAAAAACATTAGACAACTTACGGTTGGTTAATCTCTGCATAACTTGGATATTTCAGAAAGTCAGCAACACTTGCTGTTGATATGTCGAAAAACATTTCCCAAATTATTCTAATATAAAAAATTGTTTCCAGGGTGCAGTAAGAATAGATTCACACGTACTAGAAAAGTAGAAACCTACCATGAAAATTATCCTTATCACATACATGATTCAACTCCTGCTGATATGTTACCGCAGTCACCCATAACCTCAAGATAGTTAGTTGCTAGAATGACTGAGGGGGTAGCACGGCTACATTTCTTGAATGACATAAATGTTCTTCGAACAATAATCAATGAAGACACAACACATCAAGATGCTCATCGGATATTACGATAGTTGCAACAAATACTTAATAAGTCAATTAACCCAAGATTTCCACATAATATTTATTGCAACAACAAAGATTAGAACTAATACCCCTCTCTACCTATAATCAAACTAAAAGTATGGGTACGTTACGTTGACGATACATTTGTAATAATTAAAAGAAATAATTTAGAATATACCCATAAATTACTAAACAACACATCTGAAGACATCAGATTCACCAAAAAAGAAGATGAATTAGACAACCAAATCTCATTTTTAGATGTCTTAATCAGGAGAACCAACGCAGGAAATTTAGAAACACAAGTATATAGAAAATCAACGCACACAGATCGAATACTCAACTATACTAGCAATAATCCGATTACTCACAAAATAAACTGTGTACAGACACCATTTAAAAGAATTCAAACGCACTGTAGCACTCCAGAGTTGATAAAGAATGGAAGAAAAATACCTACTAACCGTCTCTTCCAAAAAAATGGATATCCGCACAATTTCATCAAAAAGTGTTTAAAGTCGAGTCACAACACTAACAAAAAAACCATCATCAAAGACTACACGAAAATTCAACCTAACATATACAAAAAAATATCGCTAAAATAACAGCTAGAATATTGAAACGGTTTGAAGTAGATACAGCACAGAAGCCAGCCAGCCCAGTCAGAACAATCCCTTCATTCAATCTTGTGCAAGCCGAAAGATCCAACAGAAAAAGGAGATAAAATTCTTACTATTTACAAAATAAATCGCATGAACTGTAACAGACACTACATTGGCCAAAGTGCGCACCCCTTTCCAATCAGAATCCAGGAACACAAATTATCTGTGAAAAGACACGATATATATATTCTTTCATATCAATGCATATAGATAATTATGGATATCAGTTTGATTGCGATAATGTTGAAATTTTAAACAGAGGAAACAACAAAAAGGACAGGCATTGGTTTGTAGGACTTTGACTGGTTTCAGGATTTCATCATGAGCTAACATTAGTTAGAGAACCATTGGAAAACCTGACAGTACTGAAGAGCTGTTTCGCCCTAGTTTAGGACACTTCTCCAGTACCCACCCAACGGGATTCGAACTCAAGGCCTTCGAGTTAAAAGGCGAGCTGGTATACATTTAAGCCACCGGAACCCGATCCAATGACCCATGGATTCTAACTTCTTGGGTATACAGAAGAAAACCAGGTGAGAAACCTGTGAAGGAGTGCACGGAAGAACGATAAGGCAGGAGACATTGAGGCAGTGTCTCATCCCAAGCGTCAGTTGATAAGCGATCGAGAAAAGCACGTAGGATATTCTTGAGTGTTCGATGAGTACGTTCCACCAACCCGTTTCCTTCTGGGTGGTAAGCAGTCGTGCGTGTCTTCCGAACGTCAAATACGTTGCAGATGTGATGAACCAGTTGACTTTCAAAGGCGGCACCTTGATCTGAATGCAGTGAATGGGGGGCACCAAAATGAGTAATCCAATTGTCAATGAACGCCTGGACTACATTATTTGCATCTTGTCGTTGTTAAGGTACTGCTTCATACCACTTTGTAAAGTAATCAATCATCACTAGGATATAGCGGTTACCTCTTTTGGTAGTTGGGAATGGTCCCATTATGTCGATCCCGACGCGCTGGTTCGGCGCTTCCGTTAGCATAGGTACGAGCGGTGCTCTAGGCGTTTGCATAGGCTGTTTGTTACGGTTACAGGAGTCGCAATTTTTACAAAACTCGATTACATCTCGGTGAAGTAACGGCCACCAGAAGCGTTGACGGATTGCGTGTTCAGTTTTGTGTTGACCAGCATACCCAAGTTGATGGTGTGTACTTGGCTAATAAGCTCCTGTGCTTTGGCGCTTGAAACGAGGAGTTGTGGGTTAGAATTTGGTTCCACTATGTAGAGGACGTCATCAATTAGACGAAGGAGACCCCACTTGCCACAGATGCTCTTTGTAGCTGCTGGCAGGTCTTATTGTTGCCGTGCTGATGTCGTAAATAAGTAGGTTGTATCTCTGTGTCTGCCCCTTGTAGAGAGGCCCAGTCAATATCAGTTATAGCACCAAGTAATACATTTACTGTGGTTTCACAGTCTGGCAGGTGTGAGAGGGCGTCGGCGTTACCATGTCGTTTTCCGGGTCGGTATTCACAAGTGAAATCAAACTCCTGTAAACGTTCCTGCCAGCGGGCGAGTTGACCTTCGGCATCACGAAAGTTCTGCAGCCACCGTAACGCCTTGTGATCAGTTCGGACCCGAAATTTGCGCCCCAGCAAGTAATGGCGGAAGTAAGTGAGAAAGTATACAAGGGCTAACATCTCACGGCGCGTCGTAGAATACCGTGTCTCTCTTTTGTCCAGCGTCCGGCTAGCATATGCTATCACTCGTGCATGTCCGTCAGAGGTTGTCTGCGAAAGGACGGCTCCTATCGCGTGTGCACTGGTGTCAGTATCCAGGATAAAGGGGCCGCTGTCCGGCGACGTATTTGGGAATGCTAAAGCAGGAGAAGTCAAACATGTTTTAAGCGTATTAAATGCTACCTGGCACTCGTTAGTCCAAGCGAATTTCCGTCCCTTTTCAGTTAATCGATGGAGGGGGGCTGCTATATTGGCGAAGTTTTGAACGAAGCGACGGTAGTAAAATGCAAGCCCCATGAAACTACGGGCGTCTGTCGTCGATTTAGGAGTAGGCCAGTTGAGGATTGCTTGTACTTTGCTTCTGTCTCTGCTCACTCCTTATGGAGTAATCTCATGACCAAGGAAAGTAACAGATTTCTGCAGGAAGTGGCATTTTGATGCTTTCAACTTAAGATTACTCTTGCGTAGACGTTGAAATACGGCTCGAAGGTTGGCATGGTTTTCTTCAAGGGACTGTCCGAACACAATGATGTCATCTAGGTAAATTAGGCATTGTTTAGGGACTAACCCTGCAAGTACTGTTTGCATGAGTCGTTGAAACGTAGCAGGGGTATTAGACAAGCCAAATGGCATGGTTTCAAATTCGTATAACCCCGTAGGCACAACAAATGCAGTTTTTGGTCGGTCTTCCGGACGAATTTCGACTTGCCAATAGCCGGAAGCTAGGTCCAATGTGGAAAACCACTGTGCCCCGCCCAAAGCATCTAGGGTAGCGTCTATGCGAGGTAGTGGGAAGGAATCTCGTTGAGTGATTGCGTTTAGACGGCGGTAGTCAACGCGAAGACGGAGGGAGCCATCTTTCTTCTTCACGAGTACGATAGGAGATGTCCATGGTGACGTAGACGGTTTAATTGCTTTCTTTCGTAGCATATCTGTCATCATTGTGTCCAACTGTTGCTGGTAATGAATGGGGACCCGCCGAGGTGGCGTCCTAATGGGCAGGTTATCCCCCGTCTCAATCTCGTGTTGCACAATATCAGTGCGTCCCATCACGTGACCATCATCGAACACGTCCCTGTATTCTTGTAGCAGGGTCAGAGTGTCGGTACGGTCTTTCAAGCTGAGGTGGGGGCTAGCATGGATATTGACAGTAGTCACCTGGGGTAAAGTACAAGCATTGGCACTCTGATTGTGACTAACTGAGCGACTGAATGGGAGGTTATGTGCCCCCAGCCGGATTTGAAAACGTCCTAGGTCAATGACAGTGTGTTGGGTAGATAGGGAATCCACCCCCAGTATGACGTCCCATTGTACAGCTTCACACATGACAAACGAATGGTTGCAGGTAAAACCTTGTAGCGTCACGGAAAGTGTGACGGAGTTCGTTACCTTGATAGGGGCTCCATTGGCGGTAATTAATTGTAGGTGGTTGATGAGAGGTTTAGGGTTGACCCCCAGTCGCTGAACAACCTTTGTGCGAACAACAGGGGACGATGCCCCGGTGTCAACCAGAAAAGTTATGTTTACGCCCTGAAGTTTGCCCTCAAGGATAAGTGGTGATTTCAAACATTGACCAAATAAGGATACATTAAGAGGTAGCTCACCTTGCGGTTTTTTATTATGGCCACATTTCCACGCTCGGCGACCGAAACGACGGCAGTAATAACATCTGCTAGGATCACTGTTTGGCTTGGGAAGAATGTCAGCGGACGGTGT